CTCCACTCCTTCGTCTAGGAGAGTCACTGTAATAACACACAAGAAGAATACTTTTTCATGTGAGGCTTAATAACACAGTGAGAGTGACTGAAATTATTCAGAGCTTGTTATGCAGACTCCAGTATCCATTTTCAAAACTATAATTAAGAGTTACTGACATCAACAGCTTTGTCTTACCATTTCCTGCGGGCTGGAGAAAGTGGTCCTGGAGTAAATCTATGATCAGGTAGTATAATTTGCAAAGTTGAATCTCCTGTTTAAAAAAAAATAATAGTAAAATAAAAAAATAATAACAATAATAATAATAATAATAAATAATAATGTACATAATATGGACACCAAAAATACAGCTGGGATAGAATAGTTCAAAGATTCTACATATGACATTTTAAACATATATATATAGCAGCAAACAACTATTTTCTATGTCAAGATATAGTGGAGTAATGGCGTCCCAAGCAGAGAACGAGGTCGCACCCCCTCTGTGTAATCCAAGCTTCTTTGTTTTTTGTTTTCATAGCCAGTCCAGCCGCACATGCATGTTAGTCCCTCCCAACGTTTTGTTTTGCCCTCCCCAACAGACAAAGACAGTGACCACCCACACAGCATTGTGTATGCAAGATAGCGGGGTGCAGTAGCAAACGTTCAGGTGACAGCGACCCTCCAAATATTCTTCCACTGAATATTCTTCAATGTTGACAAGGCTTTCGAATATTCCTCCATATCAAGAGTTGGAAGTTGGCTTCCTATTTTGCATTTTCTCATTTCACTAAGTCGTGCAGCAGTTCCATCCTTCGCCTGAATGTAACTGCTGCACTATTTAAGGTCAAACAGAAAAATTCAAACAAGAAGCTGGCGAAAAGAAACTGACTTCGGCTTCATCGTGAGAGTTGAACAGCATGAAAAGGGATGAGGAGGTTGCTCTGTTTCTGCCTGACAGGTGGATGACATTTACTTATTTTTGCTGCTTTACAGAACCAATAAGTCAGTATTGTTTTGTGACATGTACTAATGTTTGTCATAGCATCAGCTTAGCTTCACAGCAGCAACTGTAGCGACAGTTTGCTGACCCACAACCTCGCTAATGTTAGTTACATTACTTGCTGTGTCTTTGTTCCCTCTAGCTCTATCATGGTATTTGTCTGTACAACGTTTGTAAACGGTTTTATAGCCACGAAGATCTAAAAAACAAGTTTGCTAGTCCTGTGTTGTTCACTCTGGCAATGCACGTCCATGAGTCTGGGGAGCGGAGCCTCTGAAAGGGAGGGGTGTATATGTTCTGCTATTGAGTTACAATATTAATAGTTGTTCTCCAGAATCATAAGGTGCGCCTTTAATACACAAAAAGAGACAGCTCACAAAGTAGTTCTGGGCAGTATTGACAAAATTCAATGTTATGACATATTTAAAATATATCATAATATTATATGATCTTTTAGTTACCATCAATAAAGATAAAAAATAGCACTAATAACATTTAACAATGTTAATATCACTACATTAATATAAGATAACATAAGATAATGAGCCTATGCTTCCTGAGTTATGCTGGGTTACATGCTTAAATTATGCTATTCTAATTCTATTAAAATTAAAAGAAACCTGACAATCCAGAAAGAAAGCAAATTTCACGAAAGAAAATATTGACTTTTTTTTTATGAATTTTATACTCCTTCACAAACAAGCAAATGGAAGCAAATGGAAGCCATGGGTAAAGTGCACAAAAAGAATTAACAAAACCTAGAAAAGTGCTTGGCAACAGAGACGATTCTTGTTTGTCTATCAAATCTATCTGCATACTGCTGCAACTGGAAATGCAATCGTATGGTATGTCAGTATCACTGTTTAGTGGTACAGACAATATAATGCCTTGCTAAGTCTCAAACCTATCAAAATCTCAAAAACCTTTATTGTTATGCTTCACCTGGCTGAGAGAGGCTGACGGTAGAGGGTCTGGTCTGCTGGGAGGTGTAACACACTGGCGTGGAGTGTCCAAGCATGCCCTGAGGAGCTGGGATAGGACTGGAGACACAGTTTCCAGGAGTAGATACAGACAGGCACACAGTGCTAGAAGACAGAGATGCGGACAGGGCCCTCTGACGCCGCATATTCTGAATGCTGTTTCTGGGTGCGGACTGTTAACAACACAAGAAAGAAGACCTTTGTATCACAGATTTTGAATATTTTCTTTAAACAGATAACACAAAACACACGGTACCTATTTTGCCTGTACAGCAGATAAACCACTTAATCACAATCAATTTTCTAGAGGGAACACAACTATGCAACTTACGTCGCTGGATTTGTTGAACAGCGGGAGAGTTTTGCATAGATCTGTGAAGAAAAAAGCAGGAATTTAGATCCTTTTACTGAAGAACCTAAACTGAACACAAATAAATATAATAAATTTAAACCAAAAATAAACCAACTGCTTCTGCCTTACTTGATCTGATTGAGTGTGAAATCCAACCTTTTCCACAATGATGTCATCATGGCTGGTATTTGATTCTCCTGACACGTTTCTGCAAAAGATGCATCTAAATTGAATTCTCACAAATAGATAAAACTATCATATATTATCTTCTGTAAGATGCGTACCTTTTGCTTTGACAGCAACATATTCGTTTAAAATCGTGGTCAGGTTCTTCCCAAAAAGAGACTGCAAAAACAAGATTGGCAGATAATAATGAAAATAGCCAGTTCCACAAGGGGTATCTTACATGTACTTTACAAGACCGATTAAGAGCAGCACTTAAGCAAAGCTTAGGACTGTATTTCTCCAACCTGACCCAGGATGATAATTTTACAGAAGTTCTCATGAGTTTAGTATGTTTGGCAGATAGAAAGAACTGATAAACAAAAGCACGTACAAAAACACAGGCGGGGATCGCTCCATCCTCAGAAGTGTGTTCAGCATACTCCCTCAGGTTAGGACTTTCAAGGATAAATGCTCGACAAGTGGCAGTCAGCCCTTCCTGCTGGAGATACCCTACAAAAAACAAGGACACATCACTAACCTAACTAAGCTAGCTAACCTATACAGAGTAGAACAGACAGTCTGGCAGGCTGCACAGAGACCGCTTCAGAGCAGCAACCTGCAAATTCAGAGATCGCTGTCCAGCAAGAACCGGCTTAAAACAATACAAAACCCTCAAAGCCAACCCAAAGAATCATATCCGTCGTTTACATCCGTTTTCTTGCTTACGGCGACCACATAAACAACGTAGTTCAGAAATGTCTGACTGAACTCACCAAGTACAAGTCTCGCCACATCTGATGGCAGCAACATGTTTATGTGCTGGTTATGTATCTATGGTGTGTTATGTATTATCTCACAAGGACGAATACTTTATAGACACGAGTTTTATGAACGAAATTAGTACAAAACGACATTTTACTGTTTAATTATCGCAAAAATAGCGAGTCGACTCGAAGAGTCCATAAAGCGAAAAGGCGCGGAAAGGCTTCGCTCACCCGGATATTGTCGTCTGCACAACCGTAAAGAGAAGGGAAATGTAGTTTTTCCGGTTTTTAGAGCGTTCAGAAGTTTCAGGATAGTGTTTGTTAATCCTTCATAAATATCACCCCTGAAACAGTATAGTCTCAAAATATAACTCACAAGTAGAGAATATATGTAACTTTTGTGGTGAAAAAAATGAATATCTTGAACTTTATCTTTTTCAACTGTTTCCAGTCTAAGAATTTTTGGTATGATGCTTTTCAGTTTATGTATGTACATTTTTTATATATCATTATTATTTTTGATATTATTCTTTCTTGTATCCTTTATTTAAACTTCTGAATTCTCATTGTGAATTATTGTTATACTGATACCCTGTCTCTGATGATTACTTATTCCTCTAGCAATAAAAAAGAACATTTAAAAAAAAATAGTGTTTGAGTTCTTTGTTAATATCAGTGCAGTTTCACGACTGTGATATCCATTAGTAACTCAATTACTGTTCATGCATTTTGATAAAATGCCACTATATTATCAGCCGGAAGTGATGTTATTACAGGAGCTGCATTTTGCCATAAATAAATATGCTTGCAGAATTTTTTTACTGGGAAACTTTCACCCTTGCGAAAATTCTGTTGAAAATAGGACTGAAAACAGGATTCCTATTCCATGAGAAGACACCATTGTCTATGGTTATGATGACTGAATTTTCTCCTGCAGGCCACATAAGTTTGCTCAGCAAACAATTTCAGGCCTCATATCTACATGGCACATATGTCACTAGAGCTAAACGATTGGGGTTTTCTGATCAATGTTGTGATTGCAATTTAACTGGCCAAGAAGACTAGCACTAGTTAATCTAGTTTCGGCAGCTTTAGGCTTGCAGACAGGCTTGAAGATACTGTACCAGGCTGCCAGATCACAAGCTCAGAGTTATTATGTTAAACTTCCCTTCTTAAAACGAGTTAAGGCAGCTTGAATAATATATTGTATAATTTTAATTACAACTTTTATGATTTGAAAATTGCGAATTACTATTTCAACATAAAACACAACTGATTGTTCAGCCCTTCTTATGGATCACTTATATATCACTTATTGATGTTTTCTCATTTTGTAACATCTAGATTGTATTTTGTTTTCTTGGGATCTCATGCAGCAAACAGTTTCCGTAAATCTGTAGAGATAACAAGTCTCATTACATGACTCACACCATACAATATGGAATTGGAAAAGTCTTTAAAATGTGTTTATGGTTAAAACCATCACAACATGAAAATACTTTGAATATTTACAGTAAATAACATGACAATGTACAATGTTTTATTACATTCCTATTCATGTAAACGTATTTATAATGAATTTATTGCCCAGCGTATTTCCTACATACCAGCTTTTAAATAAATGTTATTGAAATACTGTCAATTTGTATGCGTCGTTCTATTCGGAAATCCTGCGTTGATTTTTCTTTTCGCTGTCTGACTTTTATTTTGATATCCGTCCTAAGCGTATGCAGTCTCCTTACACGCCTCCTCCAGCGATCGACATAAACAACTCGAAGGCGAAGTCCTCTCAGACCCAGCTGGAGCTAACGGCTACGTACCGCTCGCAGAATTTGCGAAAACACAGACGGCTGAAACGGCGACAATAAAGAGGTTTAGGATGGACTCTGTGCCTAAAAGGTGAGAACTCGAGCTTGCAGTTCATTGCAGAATTGCGTTAAATGTGCTCATTTGAAACGATGGAGAGAGGAAATGCGCAATGGTATTAAAAGACATAACGTTAGCTCCCTGCAGCTAACAGGCTAACTTAGTTATTCCGTCTTCCTCAGTCTTACAGTGAACCGTTTAGCTCAGACTTATTCTGTGTATTTGTCTTTTGATCTGACGCAGGAGAACCAGGTCCAGACTTCACAGCTTATTTAAGTGTATTTTCGCAGAATTGTTTTTCTTGCTTATTGTTGTCGGTATAAGGCTAAAAATAGAGTAAATGATTATTTCATGCAAAGTATAAGACAAAGCTGCAGTGAGGAGGAGGCCTGTCTTCGGAGGAGACCGTGTACACCATGGAAGGGGCGGCTGAAGCTAGCTTAGCCGTGCTGTTAGCTTTTGAGTTCGGGCAGCGTTTAAGAGCCCACCGCCCCCACCAGCAGGGCCTCGGCCGCCTCGTCTTTCAGCCTTTTCAGAAGGAATAAAGTGCTGAAATGCGCTGCTTGAATACGACGTGTAGTTGTTTTAACCATTTGAACAGCGAATTTGATTAGTTATCTTTCTTCGTTCTGCACTGTTATGAGTTTCTTTTTGTTACGATGAGAACAGCTAAATTGAGCATTTAACGGAAACTGAGCAAAAATGAGGGTCACAAATGTTTGAGCATGTTGATAGATGCCATGCTTCGCTTTCATTTTGTCTTTTGTGTGTGTGTGTGTGTGTGTGTGTCTCGTCTGATCGTCACTGGTTGAGATCCGGCCCCTCTGTATGATCCAGTAGCGAAACTGTGCCAGAGTACATTGTGTTCTTTGATACACACCGCTGCGATTTTTTTGTTATGCGCAGAGCGGAGCGGACTTCTGGCTGCAAACACGAACTTAGTTGAACCTCTCACACCCCCACCCCCACACACACACACACACACACACACACGCGCGCAATCCAGCCCGTCAACCTTTGCACGACATGGGGCTCGGGTCCAAGAAGTGTTCAGCGCAAATGAGTGTGTATACAGAGAACAATCGGGCACGAGACGCAGATTGAGTCTTGACTGTTTGTGGAGATTATTCTCTCCCACAGAGGGAAACGCACAGCAGAGCGGGCTGCCAGATGAAGGCTTTGGACACCGTGTTCCTAAACTGTGGCCGCTCCCCCTGCGCGAGCTTACTGGGCACGTGAACAACTGAGCTCTAAAGACAGCAGTTCCTCGCTTTTTCACCTACATGAGTCATTCAGTTTTTCACCTATATGCTCGGGCCCTTCAGTTTTTCACTTATTTGAATCATTTATTTTTTCGTATGTTTGAATTCTTTAGGCTTTCAGCTGTTTTAGTTTTTATCCTCTGTAGTTTTTAACCCCTTTGGCCCATTTGTTTGTCACTTATTTGAATCCTTTTGATTTCCCTTTGAGCCCTTTATTCTTTTTCTCCACCAGTATTTTCATTGATATGGTCCCTTTTAGCTTTTCACTCATTTTAACCCTTGAGTCCATCACCTGCTTGAATCCATTATTTTTCACCAATTTGAATCCTTTTAGTTTGTCCTTTTATTTATTTATTTATTATTATTTATTTATATATATATATATATATATATATATATATATATATATATATATATATATATATATATAAAATAGTTTCTACCCATTTTGGTGCCTCTTGTTTTTCGTCTGTTTGAATCAATTTGTTTTTCACATTTTTGCTCTTTTTCACCCTTGTTTTCCCCCTTTTTACTTGGCTCTTTAGTTTTTCACTGATTTGGCCCCCTTTACTTTTTAACCTATTTGAAGCCTTTACTTTTGCATCTGTTTTGGCTCTGTTAGTCTCCATATTGGCAAAACAATTTGAGGACATTTTTTTCCCCTCTTTCCCATATTTTCTCCCCCCCCCTGCTGGCAACGTTCAGAAAAGAAATCCACATTTCTCTCCAAATCCAGTTCTGTATCTTATGAAATGTGCATGGTAGTTCATATCATTTTATGGTATTTGCTTTTATATGTCTGAACATTTTGTGTTGACAGAACTGTTATTATTTGAGTGAAGTGAAGGCCTTCACAGCTCTGTAGTTTGCAGCTCTGTTGTTCTGTAGTTAATTTTAGTAGTTTTTTAAAATACTGCTGATTAACTGTGTAAATGGTCTCGTAAAATCTTTTTTCCTCCTCCACTCTCCCTTGTGGTTGCTTGAGCCTTGCTTAGTTTCGCAGAGGACTAGGTCAAAGGGGTTTGACCTACTTTAATTTGTAGTCGTCTGTATCCCCTCAGTCAGCTCCCTGTACGTCCTGAACTATTTCAGAATGCTGTTAACTTTTATGCTGAGGATCCCAGTTGGGGCAGCGCAATACACTGTTAGTTAATCATTATTGAAATGTTGGCCTCTGCGATGTAATAAATCACTAAACTATTTACTGTGGTTTGTGAGCATCTTAGCTAAAATCAGATGCTTCTCATCAGTGTTCATTGGTTGTTTTTTGGTCACCTAATGGCAAATGATGTGTAGTTGAAACTTCTAGTATGTTCCTGGGGATTTGAATACGTTGCCAAGTGATGTTGTAATCGCAGCGATGTTTTGTGCATGTCTTCTGGCTTTAGCTGTAGCATGTAATATTTGCTTGTGTAATCCATTGATATGGGCACAACATATTCTTTCCGTGCACAAAATGAGGTCTTGTGAAATTTTGTTTATGAACCCTCTCAGTAAGATCTGTACACAAGAGATCACACAGGAACTGCAGCAGTTGGCAGGCAAAGTTTTGGTTTGTAATAACAAAAGTAGGTTGTTTGAACATCGGCAACTCTGCTGGGAAGTGTAGACTTGATTAAGCTAAAATGATTAACTCAGCCTTATTGTTAATCAAATTGTTTTTTTTGTTTTTTTTGTTTTGGTTTTTTTTGTTTTTTCCTCAGTGCATTTCACCAACTCGCTGGTGACGTCTGTTAAACTTTGTTTAGTCTGTTCCTTTCCTTTATCTGATTGTTCTGGTTTTCTTGGCCAGTTAACCACTCATGACTTGTGGCATCTTGTGGTGTGTTGGAGTGTTACTTTTGGTTTGGGATTCTTCCCCTGTTAATGAGTCTTTCCATCTACTGTAATCTTAATTATTAAGCCCAGAGCTGAGACCTTTGCTGCTGGTTCTGCAGTTCCTGCAGTTCCTGTTTGGGAATTAAATGAAAGGGGAACTAGTGAGCAGGCGAGCTTAATGCATTTGAACTGTTCTTTGGGCTTCTGTTTCCAGTCTCCTGTTCTGATTTAATGTAATAATTTTTGTTGTTGTTGTTGTTGTTGTTGTTGTTGTTGTTGTTGTTGTACTCTAATTATATGATAAATGGATAAGTGGATTGCAGTATTTCTAAACATTCTAAAACTGGATGTCAAGTCCTTAAAGATGAGACTGAGTGCTGTAACCAGTAAAACCAAGAAGAAAATAAACACGTTTGTGTAAAAGGTTGTGTAGTGCTCGTGTGTGGAGGTTCGCTCCTTATCAGGTCAGTTGACAGAGAATATAACTGATGTGTTTGTTTTTTGTTTTGATAGAAGAAGGAGCCAGCAAATTTGACTCCTATTTAAATCACACTTGAATCTAATGGTATTTGGTTTACTTTTGTAGGCTTATACTTCTCCAAGATGGGTGATGGGGTAGTTTTGAGCCCCTCCTGTGACAAGTGACCTCTGGGCTGCTGGCTTCTGGAATTTTGTAATGCTTGTTTGGTCAAGCTTGAGGGGCATTTAATGGTTTAATGTTGCTTTGCTTTGTAGGTTTATGGCAAGTCAGTGCAAATGAACTATACACGAGTTTGTATCATCATGGTCTTTTTCACAAGTCCTACGACATCTCCCGATTCCTAGCACACCAAGTAGTCTAAAGGTCACTGAAAAAAAGTTCACAACTCAGAAATGTCAGATGTCAGATTCTTCATGACGCTCAGAATGAAGAGAGATTCATCTGTAGATCATTATGTAAAACTTGTTCCCCTTTGGACTTGTTTTAGTTTTGGCTGTGGTTTGCACACCGCCTAAAACGTGAGGCTTCCTGGCAGCAAATGGAAACATGTTGTGCATATGGCTGACCTGCTAGACATTAATGCTGGCACATTTGGTGAAATATGACTAGACAGTAAATTCTCAGTGTTTCCTCTCATTGGAATATGTATCTATTTGGAAAAGTTACTTCAGCCCCAAATACATATTCATCATAAAAGGAAAATTCCTTAAAAGGGTCTGTATTGAGCCTTGGGACCTTTTTAAAGTTGAGCTTGAATTCCAGGGTGGGTTGTTTGGGTCAGAGTTGAACAAGAAGGCTGGAGGATGGGCTCTGACGTGAAGGACACAGAGTCCCACCAGAGTACTTGAGGCATGTGGGGGAGGGGAGGCAGGAGTTAAAGGGAGTTGTTTTCCTCAGTAAGTTATTTGGCCTTCTTTCATTTCATTCAGTCAAGCTCTAGCATTGTGTCCACTGAAACAGAAAAACGTGTAGTAAAAGTGGTTGTGGCTTAGTGCTTGTGTGGTATTTTGCTTATTTTCTTTATTTCTGCTCCTGCTGTGGAGAATGAGCTAGAAGAAAACTCTTCCCTTGGGGATGGGTTGGACTGGGTCTGTGGCACTTAAATGGTTGTAAGCTGGCTGCTTATTTTTGTGAACAAAATGTTACAGTTTTGACTTGAAAGTAATTTTAAATAATTTGGAATACTAAATAATTTCATTCTGTTAGTTCACAAAACTGAAAGGTATCCAGTATAAAAAGTCAGATTGGGCAGGCTTCACTTTGGGCCTTAGTTATCTGTTGACCAGACACACCCTGCTTTGTGAAGTACCCCCAGGTCTGTAACTGTATTGTGTTCTAGTAAATAACCTCTTGGTCCTAACTTTTTGTCTTGTCTATGTTTAATCTGTCCCTTTCCCTGGCAGGCCGAACTCGGACATGCGGAAGCTGCGCTCGCGTGATGCGGCCCGCTGTAGAAGAAGTCAGGAGACGGAGGTGTTTTACGAGCTTGCCCATTCCTTGCCGCTTGCAAGGCGTGTCACATCCCACTTGGACAAAGCTGCCATCATGAGAGTGACCCTCAGCTACCTGCGCATGCGTCAGCTCCTCCGCTCCAGTAAGCTCCTAAACATGCTCACCTTTAAACCATGATATTGTTTTAAGGGACCAGGGCAGAGCAGTAATCTATAATGAAGGGGCTAACAATTAATAGGGGTTTGGAGAATGCAATGTACCACACTGATAGTTTAAGTGAAAATTTGTTAATAAATTAAGGCCCATTCTTTTGGTCCACAAGATGGCGCTGAGAAGTGTTGTGGAATTATATCTAGTGATTCTACCATTTTAAAAAAATTAAATTAGCAGTCTTAACTTTAGTGTTGATCTTTGGTTTCTGTCACTTTCTGCAGCAACAACCAAGGTGGAGCCAGGCACTGAGGAAGAGGAGGATCCTACAGATGCATTCTACCAGCAGGCGCTGGCTGGTTTCGTTCTGGTGATGACTGAAGAAGGAGACATGATCTTTCTCTCTGACAATGTCAGCAAGTACATCGGCATCACACAGGTTAGAGCAGGCCTTAAAGTGGCAGCTCTCTCCTCAATGTAATGTATTCTGTATAGGGAGCAATGTATGGTAGTAGTGCTGAAATTAGAGCTGTTTGTTATCCCACTTATATAAATACATAAAGTAAACACAGAGGCAGCATGAGGCCTGCCCTTCTGTGCCTTGAATGGATCACATTACTTTGCGTGCAAAGAGGCTTGGAATACTTCCCAGGCTTCACTGAGATCACATCGTCAGCTCTCTGAGGCAAGGACATTTTGTAAAGAGGTTTGGCTGCAACCCTGCTGCTGTCCAAAAGGATGTATTGAATGAAATTAACTGGCCTTCAGAGTAAAGTGAATGTGACAGCTAGAGTGACACATTAGTCATTACAGTGGATCTCCTGCTTACAGGGACACGCAAGGTAATGAGTAGAAAGTTAAAGAGGGAACATTCTTGTCAACATTTTAAGCAAGATTAATATATTATTTTTGTTTTGTACAAGTTTAGAGTGTGAAAAAAGTGAAGGAGCACCATGCAGAAGTTTGGGCAACCCAAGAGATTTGAGCTGAGATCTTCTTTTACGAAGATCTCAGACCTTAATTAGCTTGTTAGGGCTATAGCTTATGCATAATTCTTGGGAAAGGCCAGGTGATGCAAATTTCAATTCTTTATAAGTACTCTGACTTCCCACAAAGCTGGAGAAAGCTATGAGAAAATAGCAAAGCGTTTTCACATGGCGGTTTCTTCAGTTCATAATGTAATTACGAAATGGCAGTTAACAGAAACTTGAGGTTGGAAGACCACGAAAGCTTTCCAAAAGAACTGCTCATAGAATTACTAGAAAGGCAGATCAAAACCCTTGTTTGACTGCTAAAGACTTTCAGAAAGATCTAGCAGACTCTAGAGTGGTGATGTACTGTTCTGCTATGCAGTGACCTCTGCATAAATATGACCTTCATGGAAGAGCCGTCAGAAGAAAAAAATTCCTGCGTGCTCACTGCAAAATTCAGCATCAGAGGTTTGCACAGGAACATCTAAACAAGCCTGATGCATTTTGGAAACATATCCTGTGGACTGACAAGGTTAGAATAGAACTTTTTGGCTGCAATGAGAAGATATTTTTGGAAAAAAAAGTTTGCAGAATTTCATGAAAAGAACACCTCCAAGTTTTAAGCTCACGGCTGGATCGATGGTGTTTTTGGCTTATGTTGCAGCCAGTGGTACAGGAAACTTTTTACTGGTAGAGGGAAGAATGGATCATCTAAATACTAGCAAATACTGGAAGCAAGCATTATTCCGTCTTTTAAAAAACTGAAGATGAAAAGAGGATGGCTTCTACAGCAAGATAATAATCCTAGACGCACCCCACAGCCCCCCCGACCTAGAAAATCTTTGGATAGACCTCAAAAGAGCAGTGCATGCAAAGCGGCCTGAGAATCACACAGAATTAGACGTCTTTTGTAAGGCAGAGTGGGTGAAAATCAACCAAACAAGAACTAAAAGACTCTTAGCTGGCTACAAAAAGCGTTTGCATGCTGTGATGCTTGCCAAAGGGGGTGTTACTAAGTACTGACTATCAGTCCCCAAACATTTGCTTCTGGCTTTTAAATAAATTTTAAAATAACAGAAAAGATGGAAGGAGAAAAAGTAATCTTGCTTGAAATATTAAAGAAATGTACCATCTTTATGCCTTTTGGAATCAGGCCATCTTTTACTTGCTCATCTACTCGCAGTAAAAGAAATTTTGACCGGGGTCCCCAGACTTTTGCATGTCACTGTAAGATTTGTGGTAGAACGTGATAGGATGTGAAATCCAAGAGCGTGGCCTACATTCATGCCAAGCCCATCTGCGATAATCTGAACTATAAACAGACTGATCGTATCTGTTGCTATGAAGGACTAAAAAGTTGGTTGGTGGTGTTGTAATGACAGACAACAATTACTCACAGATTAAGCATACCCTTTGACTTGTCTTGTAAAAATTAGGGCTTCCTGACTGTTTCTGACTATTTACTGATCTTTCATTTTCTAGCTGGAGCTGCTTGGACAGAGTGTGTATGACTTTGTTCACCCTTGTGATCAAGAGGAGCTGAGAGATCTCCTCACCACTAAGTCAGGTAAAGTTATGCTTGTATAGTGTAATGCAGCCTGCCACAACCCACTTATTTCATCCATTACTAGTTGAACGGCTTCATTTACGTGTGTTTTGTCTTGTACAGGACTTTGTAAGAAGAAGACAGAAAGGTTTATTGAGCGCAACTTCTTCCTTCGAATGAAGAGCACCCTCACCAACCGAGGAAGAACAGTGAACATCAAGTCCGCCACTTGGAAGGTAGTCACATGCTGGCTCAGTACAATATTAACTGAGTGTCTTGATAGCATCGATGTTCCAGAACACTTGATATGCTGATTGCAGCAGCGTCATTACAACTGATTACGATCAAATGATTCCAGCTGACCTGACAAAGAAGGACTACCTATGTTCCTTTGTCTTGATTTGTCAAGTTAGAAGGGCTTAAGTTGTCCATGTTTGTGGGGTCAGTTGTGATGATCAAGTCAGAACCAAGTCAGAACTAATTGAAATGCTTATATGTAATATTTCACGGAATTGCTTTGAGTTTTAGTCACTCTGATAGTGTGTTTTGTTTCATTAAATTTTAATGACCATGTTTTTTTTTCTTTTTTTCCCCCTGTTCCTTTCAAATTCTCAGGTGCTTCACTGCACAGGTCACATGCAGACCTTTAGCAGTGAACTGGAGAGTTCGTCCCCTATTGGGAGCTACCTGACTCTGCTCTGTGAGCCCATCCCCCACCCAGGCTGTGTAGAGTTCCCACTGGACAGCAGCACCTTCCTCTCCCGCCACAACATGGACATGAGCTTCACACAGTGTGACGGCCGGTGAGAACATTTTGAGTTTTCACATTCAAAACCTGCAACGTTACCGACGTTATGTGTTTAGGACATGCTTCATGCCAACTGCCATCAAATGGCACTTTACTGGGGTGTACACATTCACATTTTAAAAATTACTTGAAGTTCCTTTGCCATGTGATGTGACGTCCTCAACACAAATGACCAATGTCTCCTTTGTTTCTGAAGCACTCCTCTAGTGACCACCTGTTCCATGTTTTACTCTATAGTCCTGAAAAAAGGTCTGTCGCATATCCCACAAAAACAAAACAAAGTCCCAGATTTTAAAGATTGTGGTGAAGAATTGAATATGCCTTTCCTATAACGATCCAGTGATTGAACCTGCTCGTTTTTGTAACTCCTTCCATATACCTCCCGCCATAAAGAGCTCTTAAAAAATATACATTTTAGGCCAAAACCTTATCTCAGAAATATCATGAAACAATGACTCAGGTGTTATGCAACACATTTGTAACCATTTCATGTAATAACTTTCTGTGAGAGAGCTTTTAGAGCTGTTAAATACTTCAGACTTCTGGTTCCTATCACCACCCCTGTGGACAAATCTTACTGGATAAGTATCTCTAGAATAGGGCATTTCACATCAAACCACTTTGAATGACTTGGTTTACATCTCAAACACTCAGTTGTACAGACATTGTGAAATCGATGGAATTTTCCTTTAAGTTGACCCAGATTTTTTTCAAAGGAATATAGGGAAGGGGGAGGTTTTTCCTTATGTAATGTACTGGCTTCTGTTCGCACATGAATCCTCCCAAAAATTTCCCAGTAAGTGTAACTTAGTTCATTGCTTCACGCTTAGTTCCTTCAGGATTAATTCCTGTTGGATCAATGCATAAAAGTACATGTGAATGGTGCTGGAGAAATCCGTGCTGCGGTATGAACTGTGCCTATACGCAGTGAGTAAGATTCCTGGATACGAGTACGCCTTGTTTGGAAGGTCAACTGAGTTTGTCTGAAGGAACGCACTCAGTTCACCCCTTGGCAAGGCTGTGTGTGGGTGTGCGCGTGCGCGTGCGTGCACTGTACACATGCTCCGCACTAAGAATAACTATGCTAAGCCTACGTGCAGAAGCCATGTTTTTCCTCATGGAACATGGCCACTGTGTGTTATTGTGAGGCAGCTGACGATTTACCAAATTTGCCACTAGTGTTTCATCTGAATGATTTCTAAAGGCAGCACAATAAACATTGTAGTAAGATCTGTTGTGTGTAAAGGATAAATTTTTTGCTGCTGCTCTTTTTTCAAAAGCCAAATGCTAGCATGAAACAGAGAAAGAGAATTTTATTATTCAGGTTTTTTAAAAATCTGCAACCCTAGCTGGATGAAGGGGTTTAAGAAGATGAATGAGATTCTTTAATACTATTATGTTAATTTTTAATTTATTTACTTAGGATTTTCATTCTGTTCAATCTCATGAATTCTTTCATAAAAGATCTGCCATGCTAGTGTTTAGGTAAATGGGTGGCTGTATGATTCTTTCATTAGTCAGGCAAAAAAGTTATAACCTAGGATGGAAATACATGCATTGTCATGTGCCCTTGTCTCTGCTCAGCATCGCCCTCTTGTGGTTAAAGTGGAGACAGACAATTAGCAGCTCTTTTCAAACAGGGAGGCTCATGACAGGCGTGCTATAAATTGTGCTGGAACACATTTGATCTGTGTGATACACACACACAGTGATCCCAAAGGTTAAAACACACCTCAGTCATGCTTGCACATGCTGAAAGTTACAGCTTTATATAGAACTCATCTTTTTATAGAGGACTATGAGAGTTGTGCCCAAAGCTATATTTTACCAACATCTGTGTCCACAGGGTGACTGAACTTGTTGGATACCAGCCTGAGGACCTGGTTGGCCGATCAGCCTATGAGTTTTTCCATGCCTTGGATTTTGATCATGTAACAAAGAGCTTACACATCTGTAAGTAACAATGTCTATGTATTGGCAATGAATGCTAATGACTGTGACCCTTACAATGATACATTTACTACATCTGAGAATCAGCATAGACCATACTGAGAGCTTGAATGGTAGTATGAATGTTTTTTTTGTTTTTTTGTTTTTTGCCTACAGTGTTCTCCAAAGGTCAGGTGTGCACCGGCCAGTACCGCTTCCTTGCTAAAAATGGAGGCTTTGTCTGGTCTGAGACCCAGGCCACTGTCCTTTACAATGGAAAGACTTCCCAGCCAGAGGCTGTGGTGTGCCTCAACTTCATCCTTAGGTACTTGTGCCTTTCCTCATTGCATTTTTTTCTAGGGATATAACAATACACTCAACCCAGAGGTGATTTGATGATTGTTTGCGATACTGAGTTCAAGATACAGTATTCTCATAATATTTTGAACAAAATTCAAATGAAGAAAAATCGTGACTGTAATCATGTTACACAACTTACTGATGACACTAAAGGTGGGAGGCAGAAGGAGTGCTGGAGTGAATTGTTGATTGGTGATGGTTGTTTGCAAACTTGTGTTCAGACAATGCAGTTGCATTAGATAGTATACAGATAGTATATCTAATAATGTAGGATGATTGTACATAAACATATCCGGCCATGATTTTCAAATTGTCTAAAACATCCAAGATTTGACTTTGCTTTTATGTTGACAGTTGCCTTTTACAGTGTGTTCTGTGCTGTGCATGTGATTAATATTTTTCTTTTATTTATTTATTTTTAAATGTAAGAATAAGATACCTGGTAGATGTTTGTCTATGAAGACCACACATGTAGCCTTGGATCTCAGTTTATAGGAATTGATAGTAATTGCAAGATTGATCAGAAAATTTGCAAAAATTTTCCCCACATTGTTCAGCCCAGTCACGAGGCATTGTTACACCCATATGTTCCTCACAACTGCTTGCTTGGCCTCTGTTGGGAGATCATCTCACTAGATCAAGAACCACAAATGCTAACTGGTGAACTCCTCTATGTATTGAGTTAAGGTTTAAATATCTGTTGATTTTTCTTCTAGCGGAGTGGAGCATGCAGACACTGTGTTCTCTGTAGAGCAGACTCGTAATGACGTGAAGCCAGACAGGCTGAATCTGACTGTGATGGAGGTGGAGGACTCTGAGGATGAGCTGAGTAGCAGCAGCAGCTCTGATCTCTTCAACAAGCTGAAGGACAACCCTGAGGATCTGCTACAGCTGGCACCAGCTGCTGGAGATACCATCATACCCCTGACAGGTGGCGCATTAACACACCCTCCTTTGAGTTCTAATCACGCAATAACACCTAAAGTATGAATGGAATTGTCATTTCACCCCAGTAGTCCGGATAGGTTCTCAAGTTCTGTTTGATAATGAGCCAAGCAGGACACTTAGGCTTTCCAAAGGCCAGAACACCCCCTCTAATAAGAGTAAGGGAGCAGAATAGTGGCAGTATGCTATGTAGTTTTTAAAATTTCTGTAATTAAAATCCTATTAAAAATGCCAACTTAACTGTGCCTGATTTAAGGGCTTTAAACCATTAACCCACAACTTTTGTGACTGCAGACATTTTCGTGGTTGGTCTCTCCGAAAAGAAATTGGTGATTTTGATTAAGCCTTACTTTAAACAGCTTTTGTAATTTACTTTCATATTACTGATCAGTGTCATAGCCAAGTGCCAACTTAAATGTGTCACATTTGTTTAGATGCAATTAATTAACAAAATAATATTAAATTCTAAGATAAGTTTATGTAATTTGCAGCTTTTTAACTGTTGGACTTTCACATGTTGTTAGCAATATTAACTTTTTGGGTGTAACTACAGAAGTCTTGTGTGAACCTTAAACCCAGTCATGGTTTATCAACTACGCTTGGGTTACATAAAAAGCCTTTCTTACTTTTTTGTCTGTTTGTTTTTGCTTTTTTCTCTCCATGCAGAGCACATGGACTTGTCTTTTTGCCCACCATCTAGCCCTGATAGTGTCCCCGAATGTCCTAAGGACCTTTGCACCCCCAAGCTCCGCCAGCTTCTCTCACCCATATTCGACAGCCCTTCTCCTGGCTCACCCGTGAGTTGTATATTCTTAATTGTGTCACTTGTCTTGCTTTCTCTTTTAAAAAAAAAAAAAAAGGTCTTTTAAAGGGGAATTCTGTTATTTGCTCAAGATTTTTACATAATTAAATGGTTGAGATGTAAAGAAAGTGTTTGTTTCGGAGTAATTTAATTTGAAATGCTGTCTTCTGGAGAAACTGAGTTTAGAATTGTTTACAGTGGTGGTGATGAGAACCATTGATTTTGAAGCATTTAATGACTGAAACCTCTTTCCATTTTACCATTTTCAACATTTGCATATAAAACTCAGCTGACACGTGTAGGTTCACTGGTAGTTTTAGGAAATAACTAAAATGGCTGTACTTGTCTAAATCAATCTGAGTTGATTTCATTATCAGTCATTTCACACCAAGCCATTCTGAATTACCTTGTTTACATCTCAATGACTGAGTAATGACAAAATCTTCCCTTTTTAATTATTGCTTGTTGATCTGCCCCTCAGGGCTCAGTCGAGGAGTTGCCCATGGACACCGGTGATGTCGAGAAGTTTTTCGCCCTCAAGCCTGAGGAGAGCACTGCTCAGAAAGGACTGACAGAGGTAGCCTGTTTTGTCAATTACTAGCATCAGTAAAGTTAGCAGGATCCTGGTTTCATAGCTGGAGACAAAAAGAAACTGAAAGGCTTATGATATGATCTTGCAGGACTTGGATGAGATGGATCTGGACATGCTTGCTCCGTATATCTCTATGGATGATGACTTCCAGCTCACCTTCCTGCCCCAGTTCCCTGAGGCAGAGTCATCATCTGCAGACGTGCTAACCACACCTTCTAGGAAAAGGTAAGGTTTTGAAATGGTGCATGCTCCCACTGATTATAGTGAGCTGTAATTTATTATTTAAACTCAGACCTGGATGGTCAGTTATGTTAAACTGGAGAAACATTGTGCATTGACCTGCCCTGTGCTTATACAGAGGCCTGGAGGAAGATGACGACTTGCCTTCTTTAACCACCAACCGGGAGAAGAGACATAAAGACAGCCCCTTAGAGGAGGAGCTTCTGCTCAGCCATGCTTCCCTGGTAAGGAAAGAACTACATGCTATTTTTGACAGTAGCGCAAAGGACACTTGGCAATATAAGCAAGAGATGGATGTCTGTAGGCTCAGTGTTTGATATGTGTGTGTTTTGGAACAGACGGGCCTGCTGGTTACAGAATCAGAGGAGATCGACCCTCCACCTTGGAAAAGAAGTCAGCTCCTGACAGACCGGGACCCAGTGCTGGGAGGGACGCAGGCCCTTGGCAATACATCAGGTACATACTAGAGGGCACTGTTTGCCACATACAAGTGCAAATGATCTTTCAAACCAGCTGTAAGCACTTTCAGATAAATTCCTACTGTTTGACATCCACCTCATCTGATACCATATGGAAGATACATAATGCAGGATAAGCATTAGTTTATACTGTAATGCCTTTTATGTTGTCAGATATTGCAACTGCAATATGCTTTGCAGTATATTTAACACTCAATCAGGATGGTCACAACACAATGAAATAGGTGGAGTGATTAGGTGGTTTATTTGCATATTTGCAGTCTTTTGCAGTAACAACATTGCAAAAGTCAATATGTTGATAACAATTAACAAAATTCATTGCACAGCTCTTGTTTGTATTTGATCAAAGACATTTATTTATAAATGCTGCATATTTGACTGAATACTTTCCATACTTTTGTTCCCAACAGCTCTGATGAGGGACCCTTTCACATCGCAAAAACCTGATTTAAGGGCTCAAATATCTGGGACTATTTCATCCCTCACCTGAGGAAGAAAAAGTGGATCATTTTAAACCACAACTATGGTGCTTGGCTTTATGGGTGACCCTGTTTGGCTGTCTTTCTATTATGAATTCACAGACCTGACCATGCCTTTTCTGCCCTGATGTGAACACCGAACATTCAAAGTGATGTAACACTTGTGCATGAGAATCAAACCAGAAGTCTGCAGCACAGATAATAAGAATGATCAAAATGCAGTTCAAGAAAACCCCGTTATCCATCACCAGTGAGTTAAAGCTACTTTGAAAATAAGTGTACAAGTGACCTGAAAGAAGAAATCCTTGCCCATTTCTTGTCTCCAACTAAAGACTGAGAAACAGCAGAGTGGTTAGCCAGGGCCCAGTTGAGTGACCAGAGTGATCTGACCAGACTTTCATAAGGCTCCTTACCTTGATCATGGGTTGTAATATCAGATTTTGTGTCGAGGGGGACTTCTTCCTAAACATCTTCCACTGTGTTCTTGCGCCTCAAACTCAGAAAGAGCTGGCCGATAAGTATAAAACCTTGTACCTTCCTAACAGACAACCTACTCAAACCTACTTCACACAACACAGACCTCAGTCTCACTAGAGATGAAAATGGTAAAAGATTAAACAATCTTGCTCTGGACAACCACTGTCTTCTGCTTTTTTTATGTGAACTCTTCTGTTGCATTAGTGAACATGGCCAAAGCGTTTCTTGAAATGAAGGTCAACTGGCCTGGCTTTTCACACTGGTGTTGTATGAGCCTTAGCGTAATATCCCACCACATTTCATCACTTTATGAAACTTTAGCAGCATTGTTAGGCAGCCTCAGCTTTGCTGTGCTTTTGTGACTACAAACATTTTTGTGGTTGGTCCATCTGAAATGAAATTGGTGATCTAGGTTAATATTTGAGCCTTACTTTAAACAGCTTTTGTAATTTACTTACACATTACTGAGCAATGCCATAGACAAAAAACGCAACAAATACTCTCCTTTATCAGTGGCATCTTTTTATAATAGCTTTTTATATACTTTTGCATATACAACATAAGTGAATATACCAATTGTCTTTTTTTTGTTTGTTTGTTGAACTACAGAATCTAATGTTCAGTTTCTCTTGTATCTTTGTTTTCCTTTTCTGTCTTTTGAAAGATAAGCTTAATAATTGAGCCTTATCTCTTAGCATTTTGAAGTATATGTGCTTTTACTGTAGCTGTTGTGTTGCTAGAACCTCACGTATGGAGGAGTCCTAAGTTAGTGTAATTCTTAAGAACATTAGGGGAAGGATTTACATTTAATCATTTTTTCATATTTAATCAGAGCATCGGATCTTGATCTAATGGATCAGATTGTAATAATACAGAATTAGTTCTCACGTTTGGTAAATGTTACTTCATGGGTTTGTTCTCAGTGTCATGCGTTTGTTTTGGGAGGGGTGTGGTAAAAAGAAATGAAGATTCAAAGATTTCCCTATTTTTTATTTTTTTTTTTTCCTTCCCCTATTGAAGATCCAGGTTGAAGAGCCTAAATGCTACATTGTTAGACAGTAGACACTGTTAGACTTGCCTTGCTTTTACACTTTTCTTGCATTTCTATCTAAAAACCTAGTATGTCTTCAGTTTTTCCAAGTTTTTCAACCATGTCTTGTATTCACTGTGTTAACAGAAATACAATAAAAACGGTTTAAATGTATTCATGAGAGCTGTGTCATTGGAAACCCTTTTGAAGGCTTTCTGTGAACTTGGTGCTAAATTAATCACTTTGTACTGAAAACTGTATCTTCTGAAGAACAAGCCTAAATGACAGACTGTATGGAAGTCTCACTAGAGATGGAAAATGGTTAAAAAAAAATATGAAATATTCCTCTGGACATGACCCTATCCCCTAACTTTCTTTTTTGATGTGAACTCTTCCACTGCATTAATAAACGTGGCCAAAGTGTTTATAGAAAGGAACCCTGACTGTTAAGACATATATACAAAGGCCCCAGTATGATGGACATGTCCAATACCATTTAAATCAATTTTATAAACCAAGCAAAATACTTTTTATTATTTAATATTATTTAAAAAAAAGACAATCATTTTACTAGCAGGTTGCCACATCAAATGACTGCTCTCTCTCTTGTCCACTGGGTGAGGAACAGTGAGCAAAGTATCTCATTTAATATAGGCCAGCATTCAGCCTTTCCAACTTTGGCTAGAGCATAGCATCATTCAAGAGGAAAAACTGTTTTGATTTTATTTTTAATATTACTGTTTTTTATTTTCCATAGGATTGACTCCACTGCAACCATATGACATCACTGTGGCCAATGGTGGCCTAATAGTAGAGGAATTTCACCTATTTGTAATGTGTTTTTTTAACAGGTCATATGTCATACTGTAATAGTATTGGACATGTACACTGTTTTAAAGCATACAAGTCTTTACAGGTAGGGTTCCCTTTAAACTGAAGGTCAACTGGCCTGGCTTGTCACACTGGTGTGATTGTATCTCCATCCTCTTCCATTATAAGCCTGTATGCTCATGTTCCCACAGAACTCAACTCTCTTTTGCTTTTGCCAACTCCTTCTGTCCTTTACAAAAAGGTTTATTCATTTGTAAAGCTTAAAAGCTTGAGGAGAAAAAGACAAACCATTAAAATGTATTAATCAAGGCACTCAGATCAGTTTAAAAATTACAGATTTAATAACATTCAGTTCAAAAAGGTTTAGCAATTTTACCATTAATACTTTTATATTTATGTATAGATATATATATATCTTGAGAAATGTTATATACAATTTAAAAAAATGTAAATTTAATCGCAACATATCATAGATTAGATCTATATATTATAGATTAATGTTTTCAGTTAAAGAGAAAAGGGAAAAATTAGAATGTCCTTAACAGTAAGTGTGCTTCAAGTTTACGCTCACTCCATCCTCCTATTAACCAGCATCAGGGAACAGATAGAAAGGATTTGGGTGGAAGGCATGAGTTTATACAACTGTAATGCTATTTACAATAATCCACCTGTTAAACAAAAGCCTTAAATGTCTCGGCAAACCTGAAATGATAAGAGTGAAGGGATTTAAAGAGAGAGATCCAAGGGAGGTTTGGTGCAAAGTAAAAGCTTGTCGCAGGTCTGTTGGGGCAGAAACATCCCAAGTGATCACAAATCAGCACCCAGGCTACAGGGTCTCAAGTGGGCAAGGCAATTTTTTTGACTAATATGTGCATTTATGGGATTTAAATCCCAAATTCCAGTGTCACCTGTAGAATAATGATCGTTTACAGCTGCATTTGCAGTCATACAGCAGAAAGTCATAGTCCCCTAATATGCCTGTTATTAAATAAGTCCATAAGACCACTGTGGTCAAGTCTCCTCACTGAGGTCAACAATGAACGTCTTCAGCTCTACTGAAAACATCGACACAATCAACATCGCTGTGCACATCACTTAAAAAAAAAAAAAACTTTTATATATATATATATAGATATATATGTATATAAAAAAAACAGCCATCATGCAAACACTGTCACTATTTTGCTAAATATCTTCACCCTCTCAGCTCCACGATTTCATTAAGATCAAGAAAAAAGTTACAAACTTCAATTACTCAAAAATCTTTTGAAGCTGAGGGTGAACCTAGGCTGATAGGCACAAACCACTGGCATTCTAGTGCAAGGGGACTGACAATCAGTAGGCTGAAGGTGAGCTGACAAGCCCGTCAGTTAGTTGTCCTTTTCCACAGAAAGTGCAATGTGCGAAGCCCTCGCTTCTCCCTCGTTGCCTTCATCCGCAGCCCGCAGCGGCACCTCCTCATAAGGCGGTGGCGGCGCCTCGGTGCTCCGATTGGACGCATCTGCACACTGACTGGACTCTGGCTGAATGAGGGACGATAAGGGGCTGTGTTCAGACGAGGCCAGCAGGAGTTGAGTGGGTCCCCGTAAGGGTGGTAGGCGCTGTCCCCAACTGCCATACACTGCCTCCTCATAGGTTGGCAGAGACACGGGCAAACCGTCCACCACCAAGTCCAGCTGATCAGAGGATCGCCTACTGAAAGAGAGGAAAACGTGACTACACTGAGCACAAATGATGAATTATTAGTGTATTTTATAAATAAGCAGCCAGTTTGCTTAATTATTGACTGAGAAAAAAAGAATAGTTCAACGAAAAAATCATTCACAAATGTTAATTTTAGAAATCATGCAAACTACATCCCTCAAGCGTCACACACGTACTCCCGAACTGTGTCGAGTTTATAAGTAATCTCAAACAGCCTTGCTTATGTGGTTTCAGACACGGTATCTGTATACTGTTAATATAAAAACAGACAAAACTACACTGTTTGGCTAAAATTAGTAGCAGCAGATTAGTAGACAATGGCAGATGTTTTTGTAAATAGCACACAGTGTCAGAAACCACATATAAGCTTCCATTACTTATTAGCTACATTAGCCTCGTAGCTGCAGCACAAAATCAAAGAAGGAAACTTTAGACACCAAACATGTCTTGGCTGACTGGTACTGTCACTGTAAAGTAACTTAGCAAAGGCAGCATACCTTTGGGACTGGCAGGGGTACAGTCGGGACTTGACAACCATGCAGGCCGTGGTGGTGAGAAGGAATATGGACACTCCAACAGCAGTCGTAGCCACACTTGGAATGGAATTGGTCACTCTGTCTTCATTTTTAGCATGCCCTGCTGTAAGAAGAGCAGAATATGAGTTCAGAGCTAAAACAATTCCACTTTTTCTTTCTAATATCAATATTGAAACCTGGAGTATTGGCCAATACTGATACTGATCTGATATTTCTTCTTTAAAAACTACTGAGCTTTAAAATGCACTATTTTTAATTTAAGCACTTCACTTAAAGGGCCACATGTTTTTAAATAAAAACGTTTGCTGTAGGATGTAAACACTGTTAAAGGTTTAAAATACACTGTTCACTCCCCAGTCCATATAGGTCATATATAGAAACTAAATCAGTTTCAAAATGACTGGTTTTGTGGTGCCAAGAAAACTAACACATCAACATGTATCCATCTATTCAGCCTTCAGCAGTATAGCACGGCCCACTCCCACTGAAAAGCAGTGTTTCACCTTAAACTGCTTTTTGAATGAGGCACAATACAGTACAGCCAATCAAAGCAGAGCTCATTTACATATGTCAGTATTAAAGTAATAACAGTAGTAGAAACAAGTTTAGTTCTATGGGGATAAAGAAGGTGGAAATGGTCACGTAAACGTAACATTATAAGTGGACCACAGGAAAAACTGAAATACAAAAATACAGGATCTTAAAGGGTCCTTTAAGATGAGCATCTAAAAGTAGACCATCATGCTCAGTATGATATCACACAATGTGAACGTGTGGCATTTCAGACAAGATCTGTTACCCATATTGTAAAATCAGATTAATTATTTCTTTCCCTTCAATATCTGATCCAGCATTTTCTGCTGGCACGGCTTCCAGCCAAATATCAGCAGAAAATGGCATTACTTCTATCTCTACATTTTACAGTTGTGCCATTTATTCCACACACAAAGTATGCCCTAATCTAAGAAGCATCATTGGTGGCCGGACCCTGATTCTGTGCTATATTTGGACTATAATTGTCATCAAGGCAGGAAGTTAACATAACTTTAGGAAAAGTGTCTGCAAAAGCGGATGATTATAGCCTTTGAATTATATGACGCAGTAGTTTTCCGAGGGCTTTAAATGCCTCACAGAACAAGAAGTATTGGTTAGTATGGTGACTTCGCTCACTTCCCGTTCACACTGTTGGTTTCCTGCCTCTATGTGGCTTAGTTTGAAAGAGGAAGCAAGTGTATTCTCTGTGAGAGAAGAGCCTAGCTGGTTTGCACTTCGCTCTTATGCCTTATAAAGCTGATGTAGGTCAATCACTTTAGCGTTTCTGCTTGTGCAGGTCTTGCCTATAGAATGCTTCCTCTATGAGAATGTGGAACTATAACTTCACCAAAGCAAAAAGGAAATAGGATTGTGTTTGCTAGGGTCATTTGCTTTCATTCACATATAACCCTCTGTTATCAAACGCAAACCAGGCTGTGAATCAAGAATGTCAAATATCATTCGTAAAGGGCCGGCACAGCAAAGCAGAAGAGCATGTGATTGACTGTTTGAAGACCCAGATTAACTGATTAAACAGGTAGAATCAGGTTGTTTAGAACTCTTGCTTGTTTGAAAAGAAAACGCTCACACCGGCCCTTTGTGGAAAACCATGTATCTCCATTTTTGGTGTTTATTACTTTTTTTACATAATTTGAAAACAACAGCTGCCCTTCACATTGTGTGAGAATGTCATGAAGAACAGACCAAAAGTAATGGTTTTACATGAACTTTCATTCTAAGTTAGGGTGTGTTTTACGAAGTTCTGTTCCGACAGCGACGTCGGGGCTGACGCTCTAGAAAGTCAGTCTGAAGCCTGCTTTCCCAATGATACCAAGATACTGCTTGGTCGTGCAAGGAAACTTTAATCACAGGTGCTCTTACCTGAGTTAGCCACACATAAGGGCACACCGGGGCTCCAGTGCCCTTTGTGGCACCTGGAGCGGTGGACTTTTTGCAGGGCGTAGCCCGGCTCACAGAAGTAGTAGATGTAGCTCCTTGGAGGGAACCCTCTGCACGGCGAGGGCTTGCAGGAGAAGCCGACGTGCTCTGGCATAATCGGGTAAGAGCAGTTTTGACCTAAAAGACCCAGAGGAATGAGAAGAAATAAGCAGAGTTAACTATCAGACATTTACCCTTGTGTGGTGTAAACTTTCTGATAAGAAAACATAGGTGGTATCTACTTGTATGTGTCACAAAATGAGCTGTAAATATATATTAATCAGAAAAAAATGAAAACAGAAGGTTACAAACAGAATGCTGAATCATAGCTGAGAAAAACAAAGATTTTCATTCAATCGTGGATTTATCGTCTTTAACTGAGGTGCCATTTATGTTCAAAATGAGTCATGGGGGCCCAAACCTGCGGTTATGTCTGGCAGCGTCGTCAGGAAGAAGACCCCATAGCTCAGGGCAGCGTGCAAACATGGCCAAAGTGACAGTCGCCGTGCAGACATCAAAAACACTTGTCCTGGTGGCAAAACAAACACACTGAGTCATTAAACACAGTGGATACTGACATGACATAATGTACACAAGACCAAAAATCACCCCACAGCAGGAGAGAGTGAGATTTTGAGAGAACACTAAAATCAGATAACTAACACTCTAAACAGTGTCTGTTCACACGTGTCTTATCTCAACCATCTGTTAAAGACGCAGAAAGAAGATAAAGATTCAGCATCATTCTTACAAAGGCCTGAGGAAGTGCTTTGGACCTGTGAACCACACACGGTCTGGTTTTACTGAAACAGGAGGGGTCCTGTGTACAGCTGCAGTTGCAACAGCTGGTTAACACCACACCCAAACCCTGACCATAGAGAAAGAGAACCTGACAAGCCGGCTGAGCGCGGCTCATCCGTGAAAAAAGAGGTCATTAAATAGCTTGGTGTGAGAGCGCACACACTGCAGTTGAAGTCTACTGCTGAAATGACTAGTCGCTATGCCACAACTTCCTGCACAGCCTTCTGAAAGTAATACAGAAAGGTTAACAAAAATATAAACACGGCAGGCTAGCTTTTGACATGCCAGGCCAAATGCCAAGATGCAATCATCTATGTAGTCCTCAGGGAAGGTCTCTTAGGTTGTGTGGCATTCTCACACAGACAAAGTGCATGCCAGACCACAACGTGGGTGGCTGGCATCTACATCTTGAAACATAGTATAAAAATTAACAAGCACAGCAAGCATCAAAAGCTTTGTGGCCACTGAACTCCTATCACTGTTAGTAAATAACAGAGAAATCAGCCGTGGACAAAGGCACAAATTGGCAGATAAACAAAACTGCAGGCATGAGTCGTGTGATGCAAACAAATACTTGAGTGCTTGCTGCAACCTGACAACAGTGGGGAGTAATCTGAGAATATTTTATCACGTTGTGATGAATTACATCACATTACGTCAAAATGTGCCGTCAGATAAACCTCCAGTTTTGTCATTTATTACTTTTTTTTACGGAATTTGAAAAGGCCAGCTGCCCTTTACATTGTGTGAGTTTCATGATGAATAGACCAAATTAGTGATGTTAGTGATTTTTCCTTTTCTTGTAGTTACTAATTTAAAGATATGAGGTTTTGTTCTGACAGTGACAAAATGCGTCAGTACTTAAGAAACACTGACTACCTGCATTAAAAGAGGGAACAATTAGTCCTGTTTAACTGCATTTGCACAGTATGAGACATTGTTAATAGTAATCATTGTACTCATAGTTTGTGATGCCATTTTGTAAAAACATAACTGCTTTTTGACTGTTCAAATGTATCAAACCTCAGCAAATGAAATGTCACAAAAGTACCATATTGTATTTTTGCCATATCGTCCACCCCAACCGGACTATTAGTCAGGCTAATAATGATGGATAATGAGTGAGCAAGACCACAACTGTGCATAAATGAGGTAGTCACTGATGTGACATGTGGGGATGACACTGCTCTGCTCTGCTCTGCAGTCAGGCAAATTTGGCTTGGCTGTGCTCGCAAAGAACACTTATTAAGAATGTAATTAAGGTCACGTGTTGGAATCCACAACAACACACATGTTCCGAGGTGAATTAGTAACAAAAACAAAAACACAAGCTTGTTGCTGTACTTTGGTCTCTGCTGAGTGAACAGGTGAGAACACACGTAGTAATGCAGTCCATCATTATCAACATGAACAACGACGTGGGAAAAACAATAATATCAATAATAGCAATAATCGCAGAATTAAACTTTGACACGAATACGATTCCGTATTAAAGACGTATGGAAAAAAAAACAAACAAAACAACGTAATGGAAGGAAACAACGAGACCGAAATTGGCTTCTTATCGACTTTCTGTTTCATCTCAAATGGTGTAGCAGTTTCGTTCTGCTGCTACAGGCGCAGAGTAGATCTGCGGTACATTTAAGGTGGAACAGCAAGTCGAATAAGCAATAAATGAAACGGACAAACAACAGAATCAAATGAAAAATGAAATATGTGTGGAAAAAAAATCAGAAAAATTAAACACGTATGGAAAAATGAAGGCATACATTGTATGAATCCTGCTGCTCTGCCTACTTCCAGAGTTATCCAGACACTGTGGTCAGCTGAAAAGCCTTTTGATGAGGCCACTTTCTCTTCAATTCAGTGACCAGTGAGGCCAATATGGACCGCGCAGCGCCGCTTACCTGACGCCGTAGCGGTGGGTGATGAATCGTTGTACAGCTGCAGGTTTGTCCAGCAGACCCTCAGTTCATGTTCTTTAAGGATGAACCCGCTCTTCGTGTTTCTGCACCGCCAAACAGCCGCCGAATGACAGAGAGCTCATTCAACAAGTGCTGCTTCTCCGGCAGCTCCGATGACTCACCGCTCAGCTGCGGGACGATGCGACGCACCTGATTGGCTGCTGCAGCTGGTCGACTACAACGAGTGCCGCTTCTGATTGGCTGCTGCAGCTGAGCCCGAGCGAGTAGCGGCCACGGCGTTCCTTATTGGCTGCGGCAGCCCCGCCCACTCACTCCGACATCTCTTGAAAATTGACACCAGTGTGTCGAAAGACGAGTTTACATTAAATCCTGTTTATACTCGGGCTGAGCTGTGGTTGTAGTAATATGTCTAAGTATATGTCTTCATAGCGAGTGGAGCTAAAAGGACAAAAGACAGTAGACAGAAACCGCTCTGTTGTCGAAGTGTTAAACAGAGAGAGTGACGCTGATTCCGGCACCGGAAGCGCTAAAAATACACGGCGTGCCCAAAATGCCGTAATGGCACAGACGCTCCGCCGTTCCTTCCGCCGTTGAGATCGTGCTGTCTGCGACCTGATCAGCTTTCACTGATGGAGTCCTGAAAAGGTTCTGGACTACAAAACGTTCACCCAGAAGCCAGAAGCCATATATGGATGGACAGTGTGAGGTTACATTGTACTGAATTGTCTTTAAGTGAGATGTAAACATTGATACATTTTTGAGATGTACTGTTCACCTGCCGATCAATATAGTACATTTTGGAAACTAAGCCTCTAAAACAGACTGTTCTGAATTCACTGTTTTCGTGATGTCACAAATCGCCAACTCATTTAAATACACAGCATTTTAGCCCCGCCCTCTCACACTGAAGATATAAGGAGTGTTTCCGCCTGTGCTGCTTTTTGAACGAGGCACGATACCAGGCAGCCAATCAGAGCAGAGAACATTCACATATACCAGTCTTAAAGGTTAGAAAATGGTAAAAATGCAATCATTACCTCCTTGTTATGTATACCTACACAAACGTCATAAGAGGATAAAATAAAACCCAAGGAAAATGTAGATAAACATCTGATGTGAATTATTCCTACAAATTCTTTTTACATTTGTAATGATTGAGTGGACAAGGGCAACCCACTGTTTAAGAGTGATATATCTATATGACCTCTGTTCCGATTGGCTGCCTGTACAGGGCTTCATTCAAAAAGCAGTCTAGGCTGAAACTTCACTGTGAAAAGGCAGTGCTAGGCTGAACTGGCGGATGTATGGAAATTGTTGGTTCTTCTGACATCGCATGAAAGACCAATTCATTCTGACCAGACTGTTTTTGCCACTCAATTCCCCCTATTTCCAGGGACTGTATGGACTTGGGAATGAACGGTACACTTTGAGATGTTAACAGTGGGCCTCACTCACCATTCTTAAGAAGAAACTTCTTCTTAAAACCCCACTTCGTTTTCACGAAGATTCTCAAATACATTCGCCGGTGTTTGGGATTTGTTGTTAGGTGTGAAAAGAATGTATGAACACCCAAGAGCACAAATGTGTGAAAAATTCTGAGGTTCAAAAACACGTCACTAATCTGATGTGGACCTTTCTCCAGAACAAATTTAGGAAAATCTTCGGAAAATGCTGCTGAATTAGGCCCATTGTTTACAAATTACATCAAAATATTTTATTTCAAAAAAGAGAGAAAAAAAAACAGTTTTCCATGATATAAGCCCTTTAAATACTGAGAGACTTGTACAACTGCAGTACTACGTCTTAGTACATCCAGCATCATCACAGAAAGTAAAATTTGTTAGGCGCCTTCATCTTTTTTTAGGTAAGTAAATAAATACTAAAGCTTTACAATGAGATGCATGAACAACAGCAAAGCGCTACAGATGTGGTCACCAACAAATCAGAATGAAAGTAAACACAAAAAAGGAATTAGTAACTAAATCATGATGACTAACAGTAACATGAGTAAAGCATTGACTCATTTCCTCATGATTACACTGCATGTCAAAAAGTATCCAGACACTCCCTCTAATTAGTGAATTCATCTACTTTAAGGTGCACCCGTTGCTGACGCAGGTGATCAGCTTCTATAATCTCCATGGAAAGACTGACTAATACAATAGGATGCTCTGGAGCGGCTCAAAGCCAAACATCAGCTAGAAGGGCTTAAAGCCCCCCCAGCACTGGCCTGTAGAGTAGTGGAGCTGCATTCTTTGGAGTGTTGTAATTACATCCAATACCTTTGGGATGAGTTGGAGTGGTGGGTATGATCCAGAACCAACAATAATCAACCAACAATAGTGTCTGACCTCACTAAAGCTCTTGCAGCTCCATGCAATCAAATCCTCACAGCAATGTGTTTCAACATCTAGTGTCTACTCCCAGAAAAGTAGAAGGTGTTACCGCAGGGAAAACAAACTTATATTAATACTCTTGATTACAGAAGAAATGTTGGATGAGCATGTATCTACAGACTTTTGGACTTATAGTGTCCAAAATATGAATTTACATATGGAATGACTGGTTATTTTAAGTAGAATTTTATTTATGAGATTATGATGTCATTTGTGTTGTATGTATGTCATCAACAGGTGATATGAACGCACGTGCGGTATTAAACAAACCAGAGTGGAGGCTGTTTGCTTTGTTCCTTTTCGTTCATTTATGAGCCAGATAGGACATTTGAAAGATGTTCAGCTTCACTGCTGCCTTCGACGTCTTTACAAGATAAACCCTTTTCAGTGAAAAACAGTGAAAAATAGAACTGTACTCATCATTCATTTAACATGGCTAAGTAATGACTAATACAGACTTGATGAGGAAAGAGTCACTTGCTGTCACAGTCAGACTCTCCGGCCCAGATAAAAAAAAATGTATATCCCTGCTTTCAAAGGCGCATTGTAACATTAGTCATACTGGGAAGCTTGTTTTCTTCTGACCACATCATTCCAACCCATTATTCACATCAGCTCTAAAAAGAGGTGTTTTCAGTAGTTGTTGTATTCACCCACTCTGTTGGTCATGCTGAGAAATAAAAGTATCTGTGAATATCACAGAACATATTTTGTCAAATACACGTATCACAAATACATGCCATACATTTTAAATATCCTGTTAAGTCTTCTCATAAAAATGCACGGGGGCATCATCGTTTGATCTGCATAAATCCAGTGATCAGTAAATCGGGTGATGGGCCTATTTGAGCCATAAGATGTGAAAAAGAGACAAGATGATCAGACAGCAGTGCTGCTGGAGTTTTTAAACACCTCAGTGTCACTGCTGGACTGAGAATAGCCCACCAACCAAAAATATCCAGCCAACAGCGTCCTGTGGGCCGCGTCCAGTGACCACTGATGAAAGGTTAGAGGATGACCAACACAAACTGTGCAGCAACAGATGAGCTATCGTCTCTGACTTTACATCTACAAGGTGGACCAACATGGTAGGAGTGTCTAATAGAGTGGACAGTGAGTGGACAGTGTTTAAAAACTCCAGCAGCACTGCTGTGTCTGATCCAGCACAATACACTAACACAACACCACCACATTAGGGTCACTGCAGGTCTGAGAATGATCCACCACCCTAATATCTGCTTTCTGGCAGTCCTGTGGAGGTCCTGACCGTTAAAGATTAGGGTGAAAGGAGGCTAGCCAAGTACAGGACTACAGAACAGGACTACAGTCTGTAATTGTAGAACTACAACATGCTCCAATATGGTAAGTGGAGCTGATAAAATGAACAAAGTGTAGATACAACGAGGTGTGATTAATGCAGTGGCCAGTCAGCGTGTGTGTGTGTGTGTGTGTGTGTGTGTGTGTGTGTGAGAAACCAATATCTGATGATGTATTTCTTATACTCTGGAGGAGTATTCTCTTTACTGCATCTGTAACCCTCTTCAAATAAACATTAGATTTCCCCATAATGCTGATCCAGGTTTTTACATTTTAGAAATGTTTACATATCCGCATCGATGTACATGAAAAATGGGTTATCAGCGTCGGCCCACAGTTCCCATGTTGGTGCATGTCCTTAATCTTTACCTATCCGTCTCATTAAACAACTTAACAGAAACTATAACAGTAAAAAACACGAAGGGAAACACTGGTATGAGGGAAAAAATGTATTTGCAAAAATCAGAAAGTCTGCAACGCTGACAGTCCTTTAAACAACAAAAATTCACAAATCATGGAGGGAACTGATACCAGTTGACTACGAAAAGTGATGCGATTGCATAACATGACTACAGTGAACAGAATGAGAGGAACACTGATTGAACTCTGATATTTCACACACAAACATGAGCAGGCCAGTCAGTAGTAGTCACAGTCCAGGATTCTGGGCTTCCGTTTGAGGAAGTTAGTCTAAATTCATGAGTTTTAGTAATAAAGACAGTCATGTCTAAATCAAATCAAAATCATGTCATCAATAGTCTATCAAAGAGTTTTATCGTCATATGTCTACTCCAAATTTAATTAAACAAACTGATTCTTTAAAATAGAAGGCTGACAAAACAGTATTGTGATTACAGATTTAGTTACAAATGCATACATTCCAGCATTCATCACAGGTTTTAGAAACAAGCCTTTAAATGTAATAAGAGCCACTGGATGAATAAGTGAGATCTGTTAGTAGTGTAGTGACAAACTGAAACAGATCTGACAGAAGGAGACATATTAGGCATGTATGATAACATCAGTACCATATCACTATCAGCACAGTACACAAACCACATCAGTATCAGACCAAAATTTAGTGCTGATTTGGTAACACATGAATTAGCCACATTCTGCATGAGCTAATGAACTTCTATACATACTCAGTTCAGAGAGCGCATAGGGCGCCTTTTGGACCATTAGTGTAAAACAAAGCTTCAAAGCATTTCTCATCGGGATGTATTATCCATATTTATAGCACTGGCAATTAAGAGACGTAGAAATAAAAGCATCAACCCAGAATGATCACATCTTGCATACAAATGGGGGATGCACCGATTTCATAAATGTACCTCTTTAGTGAACGCTGGCATAAATCACCAAATTCTACAAATAAACCCAAACTGTTAAAGGAATGGTTCGGTTTGAAAATCAAATTTACACATTTTGTCCTTGTATTTCAGATGTAGTCCATCAGCAAAGACATGTTTAGTGTCCAAATTTCGCTTCTTTAGTAAAACTGATACTACAAAGCTAACAATGCTAATAAACACTAGAAATCAATAGTCACCCAAATAATTTCCATAAATACATTCCAAAAACTTTTCAACCTGCTCAACTGCATCCAGCTCTTAAGCTTGTAGACACTTATCAGCATGGTTTAGAGCACAGTATCACTTACTGAAACTATACAAATGAACACAACTTCACCATGCAACGTTAGCTAAATGCAGCAGGCAGCAACTTCAGATAACACCTGCTGTCTAAAGTGGCTGCCCTCTGCATTAAGCTACCCAGCAAAGATTCTCATTTTTTAGCTCACTGTAAGTCATACTGTGTCTTAAACCACACTGCCATGCTTGTGCGACCTTAAGAAGTCTTTTTAGTGACTACTGACATCTATTGACTTAATAGTGTTGGCCTTAGCATAATTAAAGGAGGCAAAAATTGGACACCAAACATGGCTTGGCTAATCGACTACATCTGGGGTAAATGGAAAACTGTGTAACCAAACCATTGCTTTAAATGGACACAAATATTTTAGTAAAAAGAGAGACAGACAGGAAGTTCCTCGACACACTCATTCACAGAAATGTTTCTCTGAGCACAGCATTTTCCATTTTCACATTCCAACAACAAATATAAGGCTTGAGGCTATAAGGACGCATCCTTATACTGAAACAGTCGTGTCATATGTGAACATTTTGCAGTTTCAAAGGAAGATGCAAATATCTCAATGAGAAGCTGCAGCTAAAATCGTTGGTAATACCCTGTATGTAGTGTCCACGGACACAACAGCATGTGTCATCTCGTAGTGCGGCTCTAAGGATTTTCCTGCATTAAGGCTATATGTTCGTCAAGGAATGATCAGGATGGTGATCCCTGGATTCAAAACTTCTCTCAGCTTCTGCCAGTTTAACATCTACATAGAATTTACTCTTCCAGCAATGTTTCAACAAACCATGTGATTCTAACCAAGGCTATTTGGTCATCGAAAATAATTCATTCCATTCCTACACATTAAATCTACTTTCTCTGGCATTAAAATGTTAGCATTTCATACTATTTCATATTTTACTCAGACATTTGATTGTCATTTTTTTTTGTTCTATCTTCCACCTCCAGAAAATTGGAGCACTTTTCTTTTTTAAATGAAGAAACAAAAGATGTTAAAACAAATATTACTACTAGGAAGGAAAAACAAACAAAAAAAAAAAAAAAAAAACAAAACACAATTCAATCATGTTCACTAGATCTGATCATAAGTTGAATTTTTACAAGAATTTATGACTAATATTAGAGTGAATTAGAGATGTTAAACCATCAGCAAAGATTCTTTTAAAATATCTCACAAAATATGTACAGTATCAAACTAACCTCTTCAGTCTAACCACTTTCTACAGAACATTTTCGCAAAAGGTGTTAAAATATCAAACTGCTCAAGAGACTAAAATGAGACTACTCCTTTGATTCTGATTATTTCAACACGCACTCGAATCATATACACCGGCATTTCCCAACCCTGGTCCCTCGACTGCACAGGCCCATCATCGATCACGAAATTTTAGCTGATGATTAATTGCCATGTAAATGATTGTGATAAACAAAGTGTCTTTTTTGTTCTTTGTATGTAACTTTTAAAGTAGAAACCTAAATTGGACAAATAACCTGATTAGCTACCTTACTTCCTAAATGCTGATACTTAGTAGCTCCCAACTGATGACAGACACAACTTGGGCTTGAATAAATAAACATTATTTCACCTCCAAAGGTGTTCTAGCACCAGGCAGAAGTTTGAACTTTTGTTGCTTTTGTGAGACCCATAATGGGTCTCAATGTGTTTTCTGCACTCTTTCATTTACATGCTTTTGCTTCAAACCAACTGAAAACCAGTACCCGTAACTTTACTAGAGGTGTTTAAAATTTTGCATACGACTGTAAATAATTGTGATCAGTTCAATTACGATTGCGATCATCATCATCATCATACATTCATTACGTGGTTTGTACAGCCTGGTTTATACATTTTATTGGTTTCCCTGCCTTAACACACACAACTCAGTTTGGGGTTGTTAATGAGCTGATTAGCTGGATCAGGTATGTTGGCAGCAGGGAAAACACTAAAATGGGTAGAGTAGTCGGCCTCCAGGATCAGGGCTGGGAAACACCAGTGTTCACAACCGACAAATCCAAATCTCTTCCAACAGATCAACACCAGTAATCTAATTCGATCAGAACTCAATCCACTCATCCACTTAAGGCCTAAACATCTGTGACGGAAGAAGCGAACATACAGTATCATGACAAAACGCTGTGTGGTAGTGTAGTAGTATAGTATATAATTCAGTATGTTTGGGTCCATTCAAACCAGTGGGTTTCTAGTAGGTTACTCTCACTTCACTCTATGAATGATCTTTGGTTGCAGACTAGGTGCAAGCTAATATGCTACTAGCCTTAGGAGCTGAGGACTAGAGACTAAGGCACTGGTGGAACCCCATTTTGAAATACCAAAACTGTGCTTACTATAAAGTAAGCACAGACTTGCAGCTACATCAATGTGCGAGTGCTCTATGGTAGTGTTCAAGCATCAAATCTATGCAGTGGACGCGGTTCTAGCAGCTGCTTCACAGTCGGATTAAGCTAAGTCTCAACAGCTCCAGTCTACATCCCTAGCTAATTAGCCCTAATAAACTTTAGCCCTAGTAACATACAGGATGGCAGAGAAGTCAAGACTCTAGTACTGGATGGCAGGCACTGCAGAGTTTAGTATTTCCCCTGATTTAACTAATCTGACAATCAGCAAGCCCTTCATAAGCTGAAATGAGTGTTTTAGAGCAAACACTAAACTCTGCAGTGCTGTGGCCCCTCATGACTTGGTAGCCAGCAACAGGCTATACATTCATGTAATGCATTCCCCTCTTCCCTCCTACAGAGAACACCTTAAAGGATTAAAATCTGCACAGGAAAGGACTGTACTTCAACAGCGATGTGGATTACACAGCCCTGCAATGGAAAGACCCTAGTAACAGTCAATATCTGCAGCCATCGAGATATGGTGCTACAATAAAAATCAGCCTTCAAATGTAGTTCACGTGCCCCTCCACCCCCCTCCCCGAAAGAAAAGAGGAAAAAAGAACAAATTAAATGAAAAAGAGTGATATTTCATTAATCTATCACAGCCTTTGACATAGAAGAGGATTTTCTATGTGCTGGAATCGAAAAAAATGGGAGTGCAGCTTCAATCTCAAAACAGTGCTTCACTGTCACCCAAAGTAGAAAAGAAAAGAAAAAAATTAAATCACAATATATAAAAATTACATATCTCTATGTTTACCAAACTTCCATAAAACTAGAAATGGTCTGAAATAAAAGCACACTTCCAGTGTTTACCTAGCATAGTGTTGTATAGGAGCCTAGTGTTTTAGTGTTTTCCTTTTGATAAAGTACAAATATAGCTCTTCTTCAGTAGTTATTTTCCTCTTTAAATTGATTTGAAGTAGGAAAGTGGTTGTGGTCCAGGAGGTGAAGCTTGAGTTCAGAGAAGGAGCATAGTTTCCACTGTAGGGGAAAAAAGTGAAGCTCCGCAAAGCTCATTTGGTGAAGGATGTCAAGTCACTCACTCTTCACCTAGAGACACAGGGCTTAAAACCACTGACAGACGAGGCTTCCCAAAAGCAAAATGATCCAAAAAAAACCCTAACGAAGAAGGAACACTGGGACCAAATTCTCTCTTTAACAAAGACGACATATGCCAGTACGGTATGCATGAGACCATAAAATTAGTGTAAAACAATTAATGTTTCTTTTTTTTCAGTGATTTCTTTAAAGGCTTCTTTTTCTGTCTTTACAACAGCTCTCAGCTCTGACCAAGCATAGCATCCACAGTACCAACAGTTGGGTCTGTTCTTGGGTCTGCTTGACCAGAATGATAAACAGTCTCTGAAGTGTGCAGAGTAGCATCTCTCTGCAGGTCTCCTGCCTCAAAGGGTCAGAGATTTGAGCTCAGCTAAGGGTCTTTGAGATCTCACTCTCATCTCATGCGATTCTGCCTCATGAGGGGCACGATACAGGAAGGAGGGCCAGATTTACTGAGGAATGGGTGCTTGAGCAGCTCCTGGGCTGTGGCCCTCTGGGCAGGGTCTCTAACAAGCATCCTGTCCAAGAAGCCCTTGAGAAGTGGTGAAACCTGAAAAAAGTAAAAGAAGCTAAATAAGAAAGTGGACCATACCAAGCCAACCAAATTTGTGTTGAAGATGAAGACAATAAATGAGGAGGCATTAACTAAGGGACAATTTACCTTGTGAAGGTTTTTCAGTTTGGGTGGTAGATTGTCTCGGATCATCTTCATAGCCTTCAGCGGAGGTTCATTAAAATATGGAGGCTCTCCGTCAACCATCTCGATCACCATAATGCCGAGTGACCAAATATCCACCTGTAGCAAGAAGGATCATTTCAGTTTCCTTAATTGTACTCATATATCACTCAGTGTTTAAAGAATTAATGCACATAGCATAGTCATAGTTAATGAGGACAGAGTGGTACAACATGGTTGACAAACAGGATCTAACCTCTGGTCCATACGGCAGTCTAGAGATGAGCTCAGGGGCCATCCAATATGGTGTTCCCACAAGTGACTTCCGTCGCTGGACCTCTTTTGAGACTTGAGCACAGAAGCCAAAGTCGGACAGCTTCACCTGGGAATGCAGAAAAGAGGGAAAAGGATAGGTATGTATTATGAAACATTTAATGTGAGAATAAAGGTTGGAAATATTTTAAAACCACACTGTTTTAATGGTAAGAACACAAAAAATGGATAAAATGATGTCACACAGTCATTATAAAACAGATGTGAACATCACTTCCTAGTACATCGGGGGTTTTACACCTTTTGACATAAGAGGATGAAGCTTCACAAGAGGACACAAAGTCATTTCCCTTGATGTTCTTGCTAACTATGGCGCAACGTAATTCAGTTTTGTCAAGTACTGAACTACCATGTTAGCCAATAAATGTTGCATGCACGTCTGATCTGTTTTAACATTGCATACACTGCAAAAAGTAATATAAAAAAAGCTATATAATTCGTAATATTCCTTACATTTTCTAATAGATTCACGCATTAGAAAACAGATCCACAACTTTTATAATGAGTATGCATGCAGCTTGTGCTCTGTAAGGAACTTTTCAGCATGCTGTGACCTATTTGTGGCTCACGTGCCTCAATCTGGAGAAGCACTAGGTCAAAGGATGAAGAGACATATCGCCAATTCAAAATATGTGATGGCAAATCGAACAGCTACAGGAGAACTCCAAATATAAATTATTACTATCTCTGTTTTTTATAATTACTCAGTGAAGCTAATCAGGTTTTCTAAAAAGACTTTGCATTGCTTGGTTGGCTAAACATATGAAGAATTACGGTCTGCAGGGCACTGCAGCAACAGTCCTGCCCCACGTTAATGAGGAAATGAAACACATCAAGGCAAACACATACAAAGTCTGACGAGAAATGGCTAAGGGTTACTGAGAAAGCTTCCTCTTCTGTTACCGCAAGATAAAATCAAACACTGCCTCTATGTGACACCACCATTTATTTCATTACCAACAAGTGGGTATGGGACGGGCACCACAGAGGGCAACAAAGGCACTTAGCGCTGGTGGATGGTACAGGCAACGTCTTTATATTTCACAGATATAGGCTCTCAGGCTTCCAAGCACATTAAAGCTCAAAATGGATTTAAACAAGAATAGAGAAGGTACCATGGTTATGGTTTTAACAGTTTCGCTTTTCTAAACCATGTTCATGCTAGATGAGGACAACACAAACTCAAATTTATATTATGACATCTATTACTTGGACAGTAATTATATGATATTCCAATACATACAATTTAAAAATACTAAAACTTGTCTGCATTACTGTTTTGTCCAGTAGGTCTGCAGAAGGAAGCCTGCTCTGTATCACAAAATAGTAATCTACACTGCGCCAACAACAAATACCTGCACATTATTTCATGTTATTCAAGTCTAATTTGTCATGAGGACACAGCTGTCTGTGGCTCACCATTTTAGGGGTTATCATGGCATCCACTGTAATTACGAGCACGGGTACTAGAGTACGGGTACTAGAGTACGGGTGTTATTGACAACTCAAGGTGCCAGTATACACAAGCTAACAATTCAGTGAAACATGACGGCACTGCTCTATTTGTGAGTATGTTATGCTCCTCCGAAAACACAAAACAAAAAGTGCCTGGATAATGTCTTCCAGGTACGTCAAACACTAGAGGGCACTCCCAAAGCCAAAACGAAAGAGTTTCAATAGAGCTACTGTTCAAAATCATAGTCTGTAAATGCTTTATGATTTTTTTTTTTATGTAGTCAAATTATTAAAACACACAAACTCATCATTTCACAGAACATTTCAACAACCCTGTTATATTTTTATATTTCAACCCTGTTATATTTTTGGACACTACTGAACTTTTTAAGAGTGCCTCATGTATGTTCATGACCTCAGTGAGCGCAAACTGCTTCACTCAACCAATGAGCTGATCAGCTTACCAACAAATTAGCACTCATTAGCAGTAATGCTAGAGTCCTACTGCCCAAAATCTGTTTGCTGTAGAAAAATGGAAAAACATACTTGAGGTATATTTTAATTTTGTACTGTAATATATAATTCTACTTTCCAAAGTTAAGGGAAGGCCCTTCACAAATGGTTAAAAACAAGTTTATAGTTTAATTTTTAGTCATTTAGCTCCACTCTACCCCATTGATTGAGGACTCACGGAGGAATAGCTAGTGGCCAGGCTTCCCTTAAACTGGCTCTGTCAAATAACATAGACCCAGTGTAGAACATGACATGCCATCATCAGCATCCAATGGTACACTTGTGAGCTGTTACATTAGCTTACCTGAAAAGACAACCTCCGTTACTCATCTGACACAAAAACTTAAAGTTTCTCAGCTGTTTGTAATCATAAAACTGTTGCTCCGTGTGCTGCTATATTTTTGTGAGATACCAGTGCTGTCACTAAAAGGTAAACCTACAGCCCTATGTTATATATGTCAAATTCCATTTTCTGGTTGTTATTTTACCATCTCTGTGTTTAATTAAATATCCGCACATAAACTCTTATGGATACCTGAATATCAACATTATTCCAAATGCACATCCCTAACCCACTGTATGGTAAAATTCGTATCATTCACATGGGAGCAATGACATCTTCATATTCACTTTATACTGGTATTACTCTCAGCCCTGGTTCATACTTTAGATGAGGAGAGATGGTAACACTAAGGATTTGAATTTAAAAGACATAATGAAATAAACAAAGCTCAGATAACTCACTCTGCCATCGTGAGTTAGCAGAATGGAGTCACTCTTGATATCTCTGTGGATGACGCCCTGGGCATGCAGCACTGACAGAGCCTTCAGGACAGACAGACACACAGTGGCAATCTGCTCCTCATTCATCCTGAAACACAGACATATCATTAAGCAAGCTGTCATTACTGCAGTGAAGACAGAAATGAAAGTAACTTGCAGTGAGAAGCAGGGCCTAATGACTGCAGCGCAAACCTACCATCTAGTGGTCAACTTTTCCATTGACTTACTACATGGTACATATTAGAATATGAAATGAAAACAATGCGGATAACTGTTCTACTACAGAAATGTCCATTATTGTTCAACGAATATCCACAAAATAGCAAACAAGCATAACTGGCAGAACGCAATATTCTTACACATGCAAATGAGCAACAGTCCATACAGTACATTTAGATGAACACAGGAGCCTAGCTAAGTTCTGAACCCTTTTGCCACTTGTGTTGATGTCATCACAAAATGCCACTTACAACTCAAATATCTTGATTAGTCTGATATCAGCCTGAACCACATGTATCGTTCTCAGTAAGGTTAGGTCATTCTAGACTGAAGTTGGACCATGACAACCTTTGATAACTTGTAGGACTGAGTAGTCTCAGACCACTGGGATGTGTGTGTGTGTGTGTGTGTGTGTGTAGTTTAAGATTAATTTGTAAGTACTACTTCAAATTCATTTGAAAGCACACAAATACTTACCTGGTATGTGTGACAATGTCAGTGAGTGCTCCACCTTCAAGAAACTCCATGACAACCCAGAGCTCATCACCCACTAAATAACTATTGTACATCTCCACAACATTCTCATGATGATAGTCTCGCATAATCACCACCTTGAAAAAACAAAGCTACAGTAAGTGAAACATTTTACTAGCTGAAAGAGGCATCACACAAACGTCAAGTTTCAAACCAGAGAATAACTGTTACGAAATTCAACCAACGACCAGGCAGATTTTTAAGGCATGTTAGATTTCCATGTTTATACTGGAGGTTAAAAACCATGATAGCAGCAATTCTTAAAGCAAAGATCAGCTAACACAATGGCAAGTTTAAATTCACAGTACCACTGGATCTTATTTCACCGTAACAGCGCATTTTATCACAGATGAGTGGCAGCAGCGTCTCCAAACAAGAGCAGTGAATGAGAGCCTTCTAGTTCACTTGCCACATCACTTCCATTTGTTTTATTAATAAAAGATATTGGACGTAAATGCATATTGGACGTAAATGCATTATGGATCATTGTTTTAAAACTACAAAGTTCTCAGACAGTAGGAAAATAGAAATCATGTATAGAAAAAAAAAAGATGCATCGAGATGCATCGATAATCGTTTTATAATCGCATCGCAGCCCTCTGAATCGTAATCGAATCGAATCGTGAGGTGCCTAGAGATTCCCACCCCTAGCAGAAAGTAAGCAACAAGTCACCTCATTAAAGAGCAGCTCTCGCCGCTGCTGTTTGCGCAGATCCATCTTTTTCACAGCCACCAGTTTGCCTGTGCTCTTAACTGTGGCGATACACACAATACCAGTGGAGCCCTCGCCAATCTTGATGTAGTGGTCCAGGTAGGTGCGTGGATCTCCAGGGTCCACCACCATCTGCAGAGCAGCACGGAACTGCTCATGGGAAACCCGCTGAGGCTCCCTCTGTGGAGAACGGCCTTGCTGTTGAGGGCCAGGGGGACCTGGTGGTCTGGGTGCTGAGGGGAGCTGCTGACTGTGTGGTTCTGGACCAAGGGCTGGATGAGAAGAGTGATGCTGCTGGGACTCCCCTCGAGAAGCAGCTTTACCACCGCTGCCTCCACTTCGATTTGCCACACTGGAGGGGCCATTGTGGTGAGGAGGCTCATGAGTTTTGCCTGGTTTCAAGTCCTGCAAGAAATGTAGATAAGAGGGATCCACTATGAGAGCTGAGCCTACACACAATTGCTTCAGCAACAGGAATACAGGCTGAAATACAGCCTGTGCTGTTTTTGATTATGGACACAGACTGAACAACACAGTTTGAATGCAGTATTCTGTAGTGTTTCTAGCTCGCACATAGCAAGGGAAAAGACCTGGTAGAGTAAAGCACTGACAAAAGCTGACAATATTAGAACATACCATGTACAAACGTACCAAAATACCAGCTCTGAAGCCTCAGTGTTTCAGTTTTTTTTATTTTTGTTCTCTGCTTACCTGACTGCTGGGACTTCTCGCTGTGTCGCTTTCTGTGCGCGGGTAAGTGTTAAACGGTCGGCCCTGCTGGGCAGTCTTCATTACCCCTTCTGTGACAGGCAGGTTGGGAGTGCGAATATTTGGTCCAGAGAGTGGTCTCTTGTCCCGCGGTGACTGTGGGCTGCTGTCACGGCCTGTGTAGCTGGACTTGGGTCGTTTATCACTACCCCCCTCCCTCCTGACCACCTGGTCATGGTACTCGCGTGGCTCTCGCTCTCTGTCACGTTCTTGCTCACGATCTCTAGCTCGTTCCCGGTGAGGAGGAGTGGGCGGTCCAGCTGGACGCTCCCGCTCCTTGTGCCTGCTGGGCTCTTGTCCGCGAGGCTGCTGCGGTCGTCCATCTTCACGCGGGGCCCGGGCCGGTCGCTGCCGGGGGTCAGCACTCGGATGCTCCTGACGAGCTCTCTCTCTGCTCAGACAAGGAAAAATAAGTGGAATAATAAGGAATTTTCTCATCTTTTGAAAGCATTCTCCAGTGTTTGCGGTTTCATTACAGTAATTTCCTGAGTAAACTGTGTGAACCCACTGTATTGCTTCAAATGTTTTCTTTTAGGTGCCTTATCATGCTAGTCATGTTGAAAGCAGTTCTGCTACTACCTTGTAAAACACTGGCACTGCAGATATTACAAATAGTGGCTCTGCTGTATTAATTCTCAACTTGTTCTACAATTATAGATATTTCCACAACAAAAAGAATGAAAGTTCTGAAACTGTGTTTCACAGCCACAAGTTGAAAATTATGTCTATTCATGTTACCTCTACAAAAGTCAAGAAAACAGAGCAGAACATGGTAAAACAGCCTTAACGAAAGAAAAGATTTTGAACACTAATACTACAGCTAATACTAATGAATCAAAATATGTCTAACATTATACCTGTCTTTACTGTCTACAACGTGCTCAGGTCGTTCGCCATGGTGCCGACTGGGGTGCTCCCCGTTCTCCTGCCGCCCGGAGGAGCCGGAGTCTCTGCGGGGCTGTGTAGGTGGGCTGCCTCGTCGCAGAGAATTGGAGCGAATCACTGACATGGTCTCAAACTCATCCAGCAGCCATGTCAGAGAGCCATCCACCCCTATCTTACTGCCCCGCACAATGGTCTGAAAAACAACCACACATTGCAACAAAAGCAAGGGCAAAGGACAGCAAACCACAATGGAGTCATTATCTTAAACTTTTAAGAAGATCCAGTTTCATTTTAGCATAAACCAAACAAAATATGCCAAAAGGATTTTTAAACCCCTTTGCAAAAATCTTCATATAATATATGAAAGCAACTCGTACAGTAAATAAAATGGCATACATAAGTTTGTTGACCTAATTCCTGACACTGTTCTGCAGAGAAGGTACAAGTATAATTCAGTTGAGTCTGCCCATTCATGTCTCAAATGAGCACACCCACTACTTTGAAAAGTTTCATCTAATTGCTCACTAACCTTGGTCTCCCATTTGATCACTTATCGTAAACTAAGAATATACATTTGTTCTCAGTTGTTTTCCAACATACACATAGATACCTTGCGAGGCTCCACAGTGGTGATGACTGTGGCATCGATGAAAGGCTTAGGCCTCTTGGCTGTGTCCTCAATAAGACTCTGCCATTGGCGGGGAAGTCCCACAAACTTCTGCTCCTGCTCATCGAAGTCAGTGTGCACTCGGTGTTCAAAGTTGGAGGGTGCCGAGATCTGGATGCGCTGCTTTTTCTTCTTGCTGAACATGGCTGCAGCAGAGCATCAGCGCTTGAGGAGAGAGGAAAGCAGGAGTGATCATCACTAAACATGCTTGTGTAAAGAGCCTTAAGCACCACCAAAATCTTGCATTATGTGCCATGATGCACTATGTGCATAGAGGACACAAATGGTAAACCTGTAGGAACATCAATGCAGCAAATAATTTTTTTCTCTTTTTTTTTTGTTTGATAAATGGTTATTTAGTAAAAGGGTTATTTGCAGTGATGCCACAGAAGAACCATATTAATGTTCCTTTAAAAAATTCTTTAACAGATTTTTTTTTTTTTTTAAAGATCCAAACCCAGTAATCATTTAGGAACCTTTAAAAGTGTACATGTTGGATATATTTGTTTAAAATCTGCTTTAGGCTGCCCAAACTGTTTCTCCAAGTCCTTTCAGTTTCTCCATCTGGTAGCATAAACCTCTCTCTTCCTGGCTGGTTTTACTTTTCTAAACCCGCCTGTTCTCACTGCAGGGATCAGAGACACTCCCTGAAGCCAAACACTGGTCTCTGATATGAGCCTGTTGAAGCCCCCCCTGCCCTGACGGGCCAGGCCGGGGAAACCCACCGGTTTATTGGTCTGTGGCTGTACTGAAAGGCATTTTTCAAAGGGCAGTAGCTTTTGAAGTGCAATCGGATCATTTGCAGAGACGTCAGCAAGGGCATGAGGTCTGCCTAAGGGGCCTCAAAATCAGGGTGAAACTATTACTCTTTTCAGGCATTTTCCAGAGCATTTGACCAAATATGAAAAACGTAAGAGGAAAGGAATTGTGATTTCATTTGTTTCAAATGTTTTAGCAATTTCAGACAAACCACACAACCAAAACAACCACACACAGACACAGCAGGCCCACTATTCAAGAACAAAACCAAGCTAAGGATTAACTTCAAATTAAGTGGTTACTTCTACAAGAATTCACAATAAAAACACAAGAGATACAATTTCAATCTAAAAGTGCATTAAAAAGTGTGAATGGGACAGAGGATGAAAAAATTAATGACTGCATCAGTGAAAACTCTTAAAGTTTATAATCTAACATTGTGATATATTTTGAATTCTAATTAGAAAACATAACCAAAACAGTTCATTGCGTTACTCAGAGGATCATGCAGACCCGATTTCTTATAGAATCTTGCTCACTGGTACACAAAGCAGTATTCAGATCATGAATGTTTAAAAATGTCAATATCTTCTGTGTTCTAGGATGCTTCTGCTGATAGGAAGATGGACATTGAAAAAATATCATCATCATTACCTATTTAGAAAAAAACATGCTTTCTAGGATGGAATTAGCTTGTTTAAAAACTTCATGCAATGGAGCAGACTGAAGCTACAACAATCCCCCAACTTTCTACGAAAAACAGTGGAATGAAAATGAAACAACCCTATACCTGCACCTGTCAGGCACTTTTTTCCCCAAACAAGTCAGTTGTGAACCCCAGGAGCAGGTGATCACACTGACAGATAGTTCCTGAGGCCCTTAAACAAACATATGCACAATGGGTAGAACAGACAGCAAAACAGATGTCTAACTACTCAACTCATCAACTATTCAGTAATTCCATAAATATAATTCCATTTCACATAAAGAACCTGATAACATTTATCTTTATATAGTGTGTCTTAATGCACATAAGCAAATTAACCTAAAAGGTACACACAAGTCACAGTAAACTTCACACTTGTGATTTTAAAATGGTAATAAGGGTTCTTTACAAATTCCTCAACATCTAGTAGCATGTTCACGGCAGCTACATCTTTGCATAGACAAAATAGTTACTAAATGCATAAGCAACTCTGCGGTTTTTATCTGCTATGCATACAACACATTTTAGTATACTGGGGAGAAACAGTTAGTCACGCCTGAAATGTTAAGGAAGTGTATGGCAGCCAAACTCAAACAGGCATGGCATTTCCTAGTTCAGTCTGGCATTCCACTGACATACCATTATGCACTGGTGAACAGCGAGAAAGATGTCTCTGTGGTCAGGGCCATAGAGATACGCCACTGCCAAAGCCACTGGCCAGATCCATGAGAGACAATTTCTTTAAAGGAATATCATATCACTACCAAGACAATCGCAAAAATGTCCATTTAAACAAAAGAACACCTTTACTATGATACTCAGATATTCTTAACATGGAATGACTTCTGTAAATTTTCCTGTAACTGAATAGTAAAGACGTATGTGTTTTCTTCTACGTAAAAAAAAAAACAAAACAAAAAAAAAACTGCTGCACAGCATAGTCTCTCACTGCTGTCAATGGCAATCAAGTCACTCTTTATCAGACTGACCTTTTTACATAGCCTGCTGCACTCAGCACTCAAACAGCAGAACGCGGCTGACTCCTGAAATCTGAATCAGCATCAGATTCAATCCAGTGGGTACAGATCTAAATCAGGATTTCATTCCATCTATGCTTCCTACTAGCTCTGAGTGTTATATTATCTACACCGGTACTGGAGTCAGACAACAATATTGATTTTTTGGTTTTCCTAGCGTTCATAAATGACAAAAACATAGTGAACCGCAACGCATCATTTTCTGGGTGCTCCAAATTGTTTTAAAAGAACACCACAACTATGTTCAAAACACATAAAAACAAAAAACAACAAAATAGTAAGTCTCCTTTTTAAAAAAATGACAGCTGTCTGGCTGAAGTTCACAACATTGTAATAACCCAATAAAATCCAATAAAACAACCCATGTCAGATTTATGCAATGCTCTTTTTGTATGCAGTAGCAGTGTTCAAGAAGCTTGGGCTCATCTTGTTGACAAACTTACCAAACATATCATCTGATATCATGATATACTTGGAAAATACTGTCATGCTGAATTGTCTCAGTACCACACTGCATTACAGCCTACACTTACCAAGAATTCGAGATTTTGTGAGGGGTAAATTATGCCCTTGACAGATGCAAGCAAGACAGCTGTCAAAAACGATGACATCAAACCAAAACTATGCGAAATTCACACCTACATCATCAGAGCAACAGAAATGAGTAGTTTATGCGGTTTACATTTTCAGCTTTTAACTGTAAACTCTCTCCACTGATCTTCCAAAGTGACGGTCTGACTGTCGCTCTTGTTTTGACTAGTGATTGACAGAAACCGCTGGCTGTTTACTGATCTTTTAGGATCCCCTTAAGGACACTTGGTCAAGGCCATCTCAAAATAACACACTACATTTACTATAACATTGCTACACTGCGACTTATTTGCAAATGGATAGCAAAACAATCAACCAAAATAAAAACAATGACCTTTGCTTTCAGTCTCAATTACCTGCATTGATCTGGCTTTGACTACTAAGCTTATAGTAGTATGACAGTCACTAACATTAGTCTACTGCTGCCTTCACGTTGCATCGGAAATATTGTTTTTGCGCAGTGAGCACACATGAACGTCACCAAAAAGTCATATTTACTAGTGGGAAAACTTGATTGATTTTTCAATGAGCCCTGAGCTGGAGACAGGCTGTATTTCAGTTATTCAGCAGCCACACATGAACACCGCAGGGTAAAATCATCTACATGCGAAAATACAAATGTGAGCACATTATGTGATGCTTGTAACTAGATTTAAAACACTATTCATCTCATAAGAATTCTCCGATCTTCATTTTGTTGCAATAACACAAAGTACACAGACTCTCTCTAGTGACAGGAAAAAAAAAGAAAAAGTATAAACATTATCTCCAGTATATCTATCTAATTTACAACCAAAACCACTTGAATTCAAATTGAGTTGTTCTTACGACCTCCAAAGTCGTATGTAGGAACTTCCAAAGAGGATACGAAGGCAGCATATTAGTGGTTACTAGTCTATCAGGTTGCTACTATTTAGGCAAACTCATTATGCTGTTCTAAACTCTACAGGCAACAACAAACCTAGCAAAGCAAGAAGTGATGTAGCAAATTCATCAGTGATTTCTCTAAACAATACAGTTTAAAAAACTACACCACAATAACATCAGTCATCTCACAAGGCTTCAAAAACAAGTTTCACATTTTAAAGAGACCGCTCCCTGTTTAAACCTATTCATCAGAAACAAAAGCGCCGCTGTATCCCTTCCAAATATTCTAGGATAAGGCCTACATAATGCAACAAAAAGCACCAGCACCTCTTTTCTTGCTTAGCCAAAATAAATAAATAAATAAATAAATAAAATAAATAAATAAATAAAAAAGACCTACATGGCATTCGTATACCCGGCAGCAGCTGTCCTGTGACCATAAACCATAATGCTTTGCAAGTGCTATGTATACATGGCTTTATACTGTCTGGATTGCAGTCCTAAAAACATCTTCTGATGGGTACAAACATGCTGATGCCACTGAGTACCATATAATATAAGGCAGATCAGTGGGCATGGCACAACACTGCTGTCATGACAACAGCAATGGTTGGTAAGCTCAACACAGCACAACTCCAGACGGAGGCAAAAAGGGAAAAAATGCATTACACCACACACTGGCCTACTGCCAATCAAGCACTTCTCAGTGAGCATAAACCTTCATACTTATGACCACCTCCTACACTACACAGCGGTTGTCAGACCGTGCCAGGTGCTATAAGTGGGAACTAAGCCTACAAAAGTAATAGTTTAATTTAAATTCCTCTACAGGCAAAATTCTCACATCATAAAAATTCAGATAATTACGAAATCACTGCTTTGATTCTACATTTAGACAAACAGCCACATTAGATTTTTCTCCCTGTATATCCACCATACATACAGTTTTGACAAATTATAGGAAAAAAAAACAAAAACAAAAGTGGCTTGGCATAGATTCTACAAATCTCTGGAACTGTACTAAAGAAATGGAGGACCGTTCTTTCTAAAGATATTCTCTTAATTAATGTTTTGATGATGGCCGTGAAAAACGGCAACACTTTGGTCAAAAATCTCCTATAGGTTTATAGTCGGGTCTGTGAAGGCCATGATTAACAATTTCCATACTCATAAAATAAGGGTTTAAAAATGTACCGTGACATTATGTTAATTATCATCTGATATATTGACATTGCTTGAACAAGAAATTTTGCGAATGAGCTCTACTCCCAGCTCTACTCCCAGCTCTACTCCCAGCTCTACTCCCAGCTCTACTCCCAGCTCTACTCCCAGCTCTACTCCTTTCTAAGGGGACAAGTGGAACCAAATCATGCCAGCAAAATGCCTTCCTACAGCTTAACAGAGCCACCTGACCTCCTCACTGTAGGGGTCAAGCATTCAGGCCTGTACCACTCTTGTGGTGTATGCCACACATGCACTGGCCCACTTGTGGAGAATATGGTGAAGGATGGCTCCTCTGATCATATCACATTTTTCCACATCTCTGTAGACCAGTGTCTGTGGTTTTGCACCACTGAACTTTCAAAGATACATTCATCTTTGTAATGAGTGTTTAAGTACTGCAGCCCTCCTATAACATTCTTCTTTATGTAGCTGTGGACGGACCCTTTTTCCCCCAAAAGTCTCTTTATGTCCTGCACTGACATTCTCAGTCACTTGAGGAACAGATGCTCTTCTGTGTCTACTTACATATTACACTAACGCATCATGCTCACTGAATGTGTGCCATCAACTACAATTTCCAACCCTATTTACTGATGTCTTTTCCATAGACCTAAATGCAGATGCCACTTTAGTCACCGCTCCTATTGAAACACTAGTCAGCTGAGTTGTCTTTGTTAATGAAGTATTTTCATATATGCCACAGAGCACAGCAGGACATTAACTGCTTAATTGTATCATGCAATACACCTGTCTGGAAGCATCTGCACTCACTATGTTTCTCTACTTACCTATCTATTCAGATTTTTGCTTTAATCTGTCACCCATCTGAGTCTCAATGTACTGATCAAACGTTCTAATGACCAACAGGGCCAATTAAACTGTCACAAGGCACAAACAACACTGATTTGTCCAAGAAGAACTGTTGTTTGTTAGTAGTAATGTTTGACTTGAATGCAATGATATGCATTAAATGTGCAGTACTCAGTGTAAATCCAATACACTTTATATCTCCTCTCCTCGTCCACTAGCTGTCCATCTGTTCTATTTTGCGTGCTGGAACAAACTGACTGAACTCCACGCACTGTCAAGAAGGAGAGATGGCTGAGAAAAATCCAAAGAGAAGAAAATCTGAAGAACCAAGGCTGAGACAGAAGTTTGTACATCAAGCAAGGGCAGAGAGCTGTGTTAACATCAAAAAGGCGTTTCAAAGATGGAGAGACCGCCGAGAATCAACGAGGATGAAGTCAGCTTCATTTTCACCAGCTTCTTGTTTAAATTTTCCTGTTCCATTCCCTGCACCATTTAAGGTGGAATGTGAAAATCTGAACAACAAGAAGCTGGTGAAAAAGAACCTGACTTCAGTTTCATCAAGAGTTGAAAAGCATGAGAAGCATGAGGAGGTTGCTGTGTTTTTGCTTGACAGGTGGGTAACATTTACTCATTTTTGCTGTTTCACAGAACCAGTAGGTCAGTATTGTTTTGTCCCATTTGCTATTGTTTGTGATAGCTAATCCTAACTGGTTAGCTTCACAGCAGCAGTTGTAGCGACAGTTTGCTAACCCACAACCTAGCTAACCTTAGTTACATAACTTGCTGAGCTGTTGTTTGCTCTAACCATTCATCAGGCTATCTTCTGAAGAGTTTTATGGTCACGAAGATCTTAAAAAATAAATAAATTAACAAGTTTGCTACCACAGCATCATTCGTCTTGGAAATGCATGTCCATGCATTGGACAGAGCTTCTGAAGGAGAACTGATGCGAGGGGTGTTTGTTTTTCTTTTAAGTTCAAACTCCACCTTTAACAAAGAATTAAGTGTGCAGTTCTACTCGCACACAAACATCAAGCTTATTTAAACACATTCCAGTTTAAAGATACTGAGCTTTTGCCTGCAAACTGCTATCTGAACACTGTCGGAATCACTCAGTTTAATGCAGCATATATAGCTCTAAAGACTGCACATTCTGTGCGCCCCTGTTCAGCCCTAGTATGCAAGGAATGTCTGGAGTGTCCAGTACAGATATGACTCATCCAAATCTCCCATCACACCTCCTTGAAACTTTTAGGATATCAGCTGCCATATGTAAGAGTAAAGCAGTTGTAATGAGGCAAACTCAGAACAAAGAAGTCAAAGACAGTAATATGGGAAGACCGTACTTGACTAGGACAGCAAAAACTGTATGTGACTAAAAATGTCAATTATTTGTGGTCCATAAAAGGAAATACAGCATGTTTCAAATCCTTCCCTCAAAAATTCCTGTGGGAAATAAATGATGAACATTTTCTAAAAAACAGTGATTTATCTTGAACGACCAGTGATCAAATAAGTGTTTCCCCAACAGTAAACTGGACATGAGAGAAGATGGATTAATGTTCCTTTACAGTCCTGGGTCATTATAAGCAGTCTGCTTGTCTTCAATACGTGTTAATGAATTAAACACCATTACATTACATCAGTTCTGTTTCAGCTGCACACTGTGCTTCACCCAGCCTCACTATCAGCATGCAAACACTTGCAGAAATGAGTGTCGGCACATAAATACATTACAAGTTACAAAACAGATGACTGTCTAGGTATATAAATTACATGACAGGTGACTTTACGAACCCTACGAAGACTCGCTGAAGCATGTGGAATTGGAATATTAACTCCTTCCTGGCACAGTTTTAGTCAGGCCTTAGGTCTTAGTCAACTCATCATCATGCAACTCCTACAGCAAGTAAAATGTGTTTCTTTCCAGCTGGACACCCATGTTTTGAGGTCAACAAGTTGTTCACTACATAACAGAGTGCATCACATAACGCAGTGAGCTCATCTTCTGGAGAAACACACTTTTTATACTGAGGGCACATGAATTGCTCATCATCTCAAGAACACTGAAACTAACAGGCACTGACCTGAACCTATTCATCAGGAAATGAAAAAAAAAAATAAAAAGGCGGGGTGGGGGGGGGAGACAAAGTGGCTTTTTATCAACAACAAAAAAAACCAAACAAGAATTAAAAGATCAACCAGGAACTTTTCGATTAGGTAGAACAATTTCACCACTTCTTCCTCACCTCCCACAGACCTTAACCACAACTAATAGCAACCATAGGTTCAGTGTTAACATAGTAAGCCAGTTGTATCTACAGCTGTGCAGGTTTGTTTTGGGGAAATAAGGGTTACTAATACAGGCCACTGATTTCTAAACTAACTAGGTTACATAACTCGCTACTTAGCTATCTGACACCCGGACAATTAGGTTACAATGTTATTATGTCAAGCTGATAGTTTAGCTGTCCAGCTAAACGTACACCTCAAAATAAAAAAATACTCACAAGTCAAATAAACAGAGATATGTAGACATGTTAACAACTCAAAACACAGCCAATATCAATATCAATAGCTACGTTTCGAGACACTATAACACTACAAAATCAAGGTCTTGTTAGCTACACGCTAAATAGCTGGCTAGCTAACTACTTAACCTAAATAACTAACCTAGCTAACATTCATGCTGAGCTACAGCAAACACTGAGCTGGCTAGATAAGACTACTGTCATGCTTTCGAATGAAACAACAACTTGGCAAAAGTAACCAACTTAACAAACAATTAAATTTCACGATAATAATTTAACAAAATAGTTCGTTCAGGTTTAGCAACACTGAAGCTAAAGGCTACAGTCTGTTTCCTAAGCAAATCTGAGGAGCTTATTATTTAAGCTACCGACTCTAAGAAAGGTACTAGGGTTTTACCCAGTCAGTCATTCAGTCAGCTAGTTTTATATGCAATTATCTTTCAAAAATAGCCACAAACCTAGGACACACTGAAAGTCGGGGTCCCAGTGCTAGGCTGAGTGGACATAAGCCGAGCATGTGAGCTAACAGTTAGCGTGAAACTCTGAGCTGAACTCATCGAAACTCCAACAGTCTCAAAACAACCTGTGTTTGTAGAGCGAGAGATCCTCAAATAAACCACTGGAAGGATAAACGGCTCAGAGCCCCACTCACCTCGTATTAAACGGGCTTCTGTTAAGGGTTTAATCTCATAAATCCCCCGAGCGTTGTGGCGCTGTGAGATGATATAAAGTTTACCCTCGGTGTTCAAGTCGCTCATCAAAAGTCAAAAACCCTCCGAGATAAAACCCCCCCGCCATGTTGGAACTCAAACAACATCCGGGAAACTCGCTTTACTCTGCAACGCCCTCTGTCCGTTGATCCCGCTCACTGCAGACACTCAGTCTACCACGAGATTTAACTGTCTAATAAAACTGTTTAACTGAGGTGTGAAAGGCCCAGAGAAACTGCTCCTCAGTGAAAGTGTGGGTGCTGTGTCAATATCTTACCCAGTTAAAAGTGAACGTATGGAGCCAGAAATATACCATATATATAAAATTCAAATACACAAGAACTCAACTAATTGTCAAGAGGAAAAGAGAAAAATCTCCTGGACACTGAAGTGATGAGAACTTTGAAGGCCTGAATGAAAATGTAAGGGTAAAGTACAAACAAGTATGAATCTTACAAATATATAATCAAATAATACTCAAGTATAGTAATGAAATACAATTACTCAAGTATTTTCTTCCTCTACTATTAAATATATCAATTCAAACACGGGGTTGAGATGTAACGAAATACAAGTATTGTGCATACGTATTCAGAATAAAGAAATTAAGTACCTGTATTCAGTCCAAGTCACATTTTTTAAAGACAGTATTCAGAATACAGTTACTTTTTACATGCTTATAAGAATACTTTTAGAATACTGACCTACTACATAATGAAAAGTACACAATCTTCAAAAGAAACATTATCAATTCTTGTTCATTAATAGAATCCGTGCATTGTGGGATTGTGGGAGCAGCTGTGGAATGAAGCAGGCGGTGAGAGGGCAAAAAGCTGAGAATTTTCAGAATTTCACTTAAACCGACAAATGCCTACCAGTAACAGTAAGGAATGAGCGTGAATTAAAAAAACAAGATTTTCCTATGTTTCTTATCAAAATGTATTCTAAAATTATTCTAAATATCTTCTGAATATGTAACTTTTTAATGTATTGTAATGGAATATGTTACTTACATATTATACATTTAGGACAATGTGTTCAGCCATCAATACTCTCTCAAAGTATTTTGCCCAACCCTGTCTAAACATATATGTTTAAAATTATGTAGACACCTCTTCTAATTAGTGAGTTAAAAACTGGTAACTTTACAGGAGAACAAAAAAAAAAAACTTTTAATGGAAGTTAATGAAACCACATTTTTTTCCAAGTAATTCTGCACCATTTCTGTTAGTCTGTTCATCATGAAATTTTAACACCAATACAATGGGCAACTGGAGTTATTATGCAAAAAGTATAAAAAAAACAAAAATGGAGATACAAGGTTTGTTGCAGCAGCAACTACTTACTTTTGGACATACAGAGTACTCAAATATCTATTTTAACATATAAATATGGAAATATATGAGTTTGGAAAAAGATCAACCGAATGTTCAATGTACAATATGCACAGGAACATCCACTGAGTTGTCGATTCATTAGTTATGCCCACCTTGTAGCTATACTCACTGGCCATTTTATCAGAAACACCTGCTACATAGGTGCACTTTATAGGTTAACAGTTACCAACAGTAGCCAATTTGTTGCTACACAATTTATTTGTCACCATCAACAGAAAGGCACCACCACAGCTGACCATTGCTGATGAGATATTTTTGAGTGGAGGACCATTCTCCGCACAGCAGTGATAGCATCATGTTAGTGTGTGCTGCTCTGGTATGAGTGTATCAGCCACAGCAGTATTTCTGGGATCTGTAAACATCAGTGCTTAATTCACCAAACATAATTTACCCAGCCAACAGTGGTCCTGTGGTCAGTACAGACCACTGATGAAAGGCTAGAGGGATGTCTAACACAAAATGTTCATGGAAATAGATGAGCTATTATCTCTAACTGTACATCTGCAAGGTGTCTAATAAAGTGAACAGCATTCATACCAACACAAGAGCCACTAAATAGCCACTACCATCTCACTGTCACATTGACTGTGTCCCTACAGTTAGTGATATTGTACTAATTCTTGGTCATAATTATTATTTTGTAATAACACTTATGTTCCACATTCACATACTACATTTTTTATTACATCACAGACACATCAAATCCACAGTTCTGCATATGTAACAGAATATACTTAATTCACTGCAATCTGCACAGTACTAGAAGTATAATTGTAAATCCCCACACATCCTTCTTTTCAATTCCATTTCTTATTTCAAATAACTACAGATACAGACAGTTCAATGAAATGACACAGTTATAGGGTCTTTGAAAGATTAAAATTTCTTTCATTTCTAAACAAGAAGAGGAATGAGTAAGTTGAATTCAAAGTGAATAATATCAAGTCATCATGTATGTTTATACTATACAATATTAAAAGCTCTTAAAGGAAGATTGGAAACTAATACAGAGACGTGCAATTTCTCCAACGTGCTATAAAAGATATTCAAGTACTTTGATTAGTTGTCAGTCATCTCTGAGCCACTGAATCATTGGTCCAGAAGACATTACATGTAAACTCAAACTGCTCATGAGTCAGAATATCAAGTCACTCTTTATCACTAAACAGAATATCAGAAGGCAGTGTTAAGTAGAAATGTAAAACATAAAAGTTTCCTTTGACCCAATAAGGGAATTTTGCTGTCTTCAGTCATGCAGATGTTTATTTTAAGGCAGCTGCAACCAACTAAGGTCCTCTGATCTGTGAAAACAGACAACATGGTGTATGAGTAATAAGGTTTGGTATTCTGTGCTCATATTTCAGTCAAAAACAAAAGTTGGCAATGCGAGGCACTTTCGACAGAAACAAATGTAAGGTTAAACAAGTTTCATTCAGGTCAGAGAAATTCATATAAGCTACTTCGTAACTCCATTTTTGTTGTTTTTCACTTTTTGACATTTTGAAGACACCAGCTGTCCTTTATATTGTGTTAAAATTTCATGATGACTGGACCAATAGAAAAGCTCCAAATTGACATGGAATAAACCTATTTAACATATTTTGGTCTGACAGTGATGACTTGCTCTTTCAACAGAACCTGATGGCTGTACCCAATAAGAGAGGTGGACAGTACCTAGTTACAGTAATTCAGTTACATGTACTTAAGTAAAATCTGGATGCACTTATAAATCAGTAAATGAATCAGTCAAAAGATAATACTTTTATTTTCACTCAAGTACTTCTGTGAGCAAAGAGATCTGTTTTTACTCTGTTACATTTTAAGCATTAACATCTGATTACTAATTCCTTTTCTCGTGTTCAATTTCATTGTCGGCGACAGCTTCTGTACTGTTTTGTGATCATTCACCCATCTGACTTTGAGGTTTATCATTTTATTTTAGATCAATAGTGAATCAAAAAGAAAAGAACAGTGCTTCAGTTCTTGTGCTGATACATGCAGGTTGTACTACTAAGTTCCAATGCAGTTCTAATAGTTATTATTATCATTATTTTTTTTTACACAAGATACTTTTTTCTTCTACTTTTATACTTCTATACTTTTTTTTGTAAAAGTACAAATTCTTACTGAGTCATTATTTCACCAAAGAAACAATAGTACTTTAACTTTTTCGTATAGCTTTAGGCTACTCTACCCACCTCTGCCTAACTGGTAATATAATTACATTCAGAAGTGGCTTGTGGAAAAACTTAAATAACTTCTTTAATGTCATTCATTACAGGTAATAATAGAGTTACTTATTCAAAACACATATGTCCTTATCAGGTAAATAAATCTGTTTTCTCTGAATTGCACATGTAGTATAATATATAGAGTGTACTTAATAAACCTCCCTAAAGTGTCAGCTGTCATAATAATTGTTATTCAATAATAACATGTACAGCGTAGACTGAAACATTTTTACAAACTAGCCATGAAATGTAAACCAATATTTTATTCACAATTTAAAGTGTTTTGAGAACAAAAAGAAGTTGATGGAACAAAGGAAATGGTATTAAACAATAACCTGAAATGATATAGTTAAAAAAAATTCTGACATAAAAGAACTATGAAAAGCTATTTAATCAGCAAGATATTGTCACCACGTTTGAAATATGAGGCATTCTGGATAGATTAGTTCACTATCAGTGCTGTACAGCATTCTCATCTGCAGATAAGCATCTACGAGAAGAACTGAAAATCTCTTCATTTTTACAGCTACAATTTTTCTGAAAGCTACACAATATTAGCATCATATTTGAATAGTTTTATGCATGTGAATACAACAAAGTTAGCTTTATATGATTAAAAACAGTGATTCCAAACTTTTAAATGGTGATCCAGAAATTTTGAACGCTCGTGTCTATGAACAGGACACTATAAGACACTTACTCAGCTTGTGACTTTGTGATTTTCTTCCCTGTTGCGATTATTTCTGCCACTTTTGACACAGCAGGGTCAAAGTTCAAGCTGGCTGCTGCTACAACTTCATCACCTCTGTGACGTGAATAAAGAAAAGATTCAAGTACAACTGCAGTCACAAGATGTACTTAATTGTTTTGACTGATATGTTAACAAGTTACTTTAATGAATAACAATATAGTCTTCAATTACTTTATATAAAACGCAAGAAACTTTCTCTCTTCAACATTTCCTTTGAAAACAATGTCTGTGTAGCCTTCACCGTAACCTTGATCAAACAGAAAAAAATAATGATTAATTAGGGAAATCAAAATAGGTCCCATGTTTTAAAGGTGAAACTCGTTCATTTTAATGGTCACCTGTATATCGGATACTTTTTCCCAGCAGCACAGTCCAAAAGAATGGAACCGAGTTGAGTTCAGTCTGCTTATTCAGCATGTTTAAAGCAGCAACTCTTCCTAATGATAAAAACAGAAAGTTATTCTCGTTCTGTTCTTCACTTACTATTTGTGCTGTTACTTGTTGTGCTGAATTACCGTGTGCTTGTGCCAGTTGCCAGTGTCCAATCTGGACCCTCTTATCCTCACGAATAGAAAGAGGAAAAGATGCCACATCTCCAGCAGCGAAGACATCTGGAATGTTGGTTCTCATGAACTTCAGACAAAAAGGACAGACATTTAGTATAACGGCAAGCAATCCATGGACCACATACCATATACTGCATACAGAAACCTTACCTTATCAACAACAACAGCATTTCTTGAATCAACTTCCACGATACTCCCCTTCAGGAAATCAGAATTAGGGATGACACCTATCAAGAAGTGGACAATCAGACATACAGAAATAGTGCCACTCTAGTGTCAGTTTTTCAAACAGAAATTGTTACCTCTTGTATTTGACTTTCAGGAGCATAAAAGATGTTCTACACACAGTCTAATGTATCAAATGGGATTCATTATGGGAGCATTTTTGCCCCTGTATTTTCTATTTCTGGGGCAGGTTTGGGAGCATGTTACCCTGAGCCTTAGTTCATTTTTGACCTTGTGCAAGATGCACTGACTTAGTCTAACCAACAGTCTTACCTAACATTAATATTAAGCACCACTCCAAAAGTGGCGTGGCAACACTTTCAAAACAAACAAAACAAAAATATTCTAAAATAATGTGTGGCTGGCTATGTGACAAAAGACAACTAGGCCATGTAAAGTACCTTTCAGCATTACATAATGCATGTCATTCTAATAAAATATCCCTATAAACCTATTCATGAACAGTGTTAGTGTTTGTTTTGGCCCTGCGGGTTCACTCCTGAGGGTTAGAAATGTTTGAAAATCTCAGGTTCAGCTCTGATAGCAAACTTTGCTAGCTAACATCTTAGTTTAGCAAGACAGAAGTAGGACATGTTGAGTTAATACATTTAGTAAATTCACTAAACTGTGACCAACTGCATTAGTTTGTGTATCACAGTATAACATTTTCACCAGATTAGTGAGATGCAGCAGTCCTATCACTGAACATGAACTTGAGGATGCTTTACTATGTGGGAAATACCCAGCTGAAATGGAGATCGGTTCTCTTTCTGTGTATGACTCTCTGTTCTACCCTGTGGTTCCAATGGCTCTGGTATGAAGTCTTTTTATACTTACCAATTCCCACGATTACAACATCTGCTGGCAGGACATCACCATTTTGCAGGACAATTTCCTTCACCTACAAAAACAAGAGTTTATCACAATGGCAGTGTGCTGTTTTTGAGCACAACAATGCTTTCTGAATGCTGTTCACTCTTACCCTTCCGTTTACACCTCGCATCTCAGCCACACCACTGCTCATGTAGAATTTCACATTCTTCTCCTCCAGCATCTTTAGACAGAATCAAAACAGAGTTTCAACACAAGAACTGTTTCACAGCAGTAGATTCAGACAGAAACCAAAGAAAGTCTCTGACCTTCATAGTCATTTTCCCAATATCTGGTCCCAGTGAAAACTGGTAAGGAAATTTGGACTTCCCCACAACAGCTACACTGGCTGCTTTGTCAGACAGATATGCTGCTACCTCCATTCCTGGGATCAAGAAAGAAAAGGTTTGTTTTAGATGATGAAAATAGTAAACAAATGTGAACTATAGATTGTTTCATTTTTTCTTTCACAGTATTATATATGTTCATGCAGGGTTAACATTATCGGGATGCAGACTATACCTATGAATGATGTTCCAATGATAACTGCCTTTTTGCCCATGCTCATCTGATAAATTCCAGCAGCATCTTTATAGCTCTCCAAGAGTTTCACATTCTCCATCTCAGCACCTGGACACTGCATGGCTCTAGCTCTACAAGATAAGAGGACAGCTGTAAGTTACCATCACCTGAAGAAAAAAGGTAGCAGACAGACACAATAAATGGAACTGACCTGGCCCCTGTAGAGATCAAGAGCTGATCGTAGTGTTGAGAGGTGCCATCATTGAATGCCACTGTTTTTGCCTCTGTGTTCACAGACACCACCTGTAATGGATAAGAACCAGTAAGCCTGACCAAAAATAACATACAGTACTGTGCAAAAGTCTTAGGCACCTTAGAAAATCATATTTAAAAACTATTAACAGGGCAAGTGTTTATTTGCTTAGAAAAATAATAACACTGCAATAAATACAAATAACATTAATACATTAAGTAGTGATTTTATGTGTGCTGCTGTTTGCCAAAGCATTTCTAAACCTGTCCTCGTGGCAGCCTTGTATTATTTGTAGTTACATCAAACACCTGGTCTGACAGTGCATTATTAAGTTAAATCAGGAGTGCTGGTGGTGGAATTTAACATATCCATGTGAGGGCTGGGAGCATCGAGGAGAGGTCCTATGTTTTTCAAAAACAAAAATTTCTGGTTACGTTTACTGCATTAATGTTTGTTTGCATTAATTCTAAGGTTATATAGTGTTTTTTTACAAACACAGACAAAATAAGTGTCAAGATAAATGGCTTTAAAAACTTGTTCAGGAGCCTAAGACTTTAGCACAGTACTGTACATTTTCCAGCTGGTGTTCTCCAAATTCCTTATAGGAAAATCTTTTCACTCGGCGACCATCTTTGCATCGCTATCCTGCAGTTATTTCCAGCCATACAAGACCAGACTATCTTTGAATGGGGAGAGACCTAAAAATTTGAAACTGAAGGCCAAATTACTGTTCAAAGACACATTTGACATCAATAAAAATCTGAATAAAAACTCATAAATAGTTTGTAGTGTTTGGCTCAGTAATGCACAAAACATGTTTTTTGGGGGTTTTTCTGGGTTTTGTGCTTGGACAGATCTCCACAATGAGGTGGGAGGGGGCTTTCCCTGCTCACGGCTGGCTCATTTTCTTAAAAAGCAGGAGTTTCTCCACAAACAGACGGCGCATTGAGTGTTACAAGCTTTCCCATTCATATTTCAACCAAGGTCTCTGTCATGACTGTCAGGTGAATTTTGCTGAAAGTCTTCTACTTACTTCCTTTTCTTTCCACACTTCAATGCCATGCTGTTGGAGGAAGTCACTTGGACGAAGGAGAATTTTTTCAACCTCTATATTCATGGCCTACATAAAAGATAATAACAGAAAATTAGCTTTAGCTCAAGTAGTAAACAAAAACAAAAAAACAAAAATAAGTGAAGTTTTCAATCACTCTCCATTGATCAAGAACACAAAACTAAACACAAAACTTTTAAAACTGAAATCTGAATCATTCTCACCTTACTAAGTTTGGTCTTGTCGAGAGGTAGCTGCTCATCTTTGGTGACCATTATAATTCTCCCTCTATAGTTGTTCTGTCGGAGGGTCTCTGCACATTGCAAGGAGGCTGGACCTGTGGAAACACACCATAAACACATAAACATGAGGCATGAGGAAATGCAGCCCACTAACAGTTAACTAGGGATGCACAATAATATTGGAATGATATTAGTAACAGTATTGGCAGAAAATTGATTTTTAAAAAAATCATGTCATCAGATGCATGTTTACATTTTGCTGATATTTCAAACCAATATTTAATGACTTATTTTATTGTACTCTGTTTAGGTCATGCTGGGATACTGCACTAAAATGACTGCATTGTATTCATTTTACTGAATTTTATTTGTAATCCTAAATAAGTAAATGTTATCTATGTCTGCAATGTTAATCAAGATGGATATAATCTCAATTCAACTTTTTATAAATGTTTATGTATCAGTCTCTACATTGGTAGATATGTACATGAAAAATATTGGATATCAGCCTCAACCCACAGTTCCCATTACAGTGTATCCCTAGGTTATAACACTTTGTATGGAATGGAATGACATACTTTTCAAAATAGCGTTTTTCATTATCTGTATGCACAGCGCAACTTTCAACTCACTAACTTTTATAAATGTATTCTTACCACTCAGTGCACATGTAATTCTAGGAACAGCACTGGAGTATATGAAAAGTGTGGATATACAGGCTACATGCAGTCTCCACAACAGTAGGAGAGTGTTAAAGCTGACTGTTGTGACACACACTGAAGCTGGCAGTGTGTGTATGTATGCCAGGTTCCAGTGTTTGCATTAATCTCAACTGCTGACTAACTATGACTCATTTGTACTACAAATACAATTATCCATTGTTGCCAAGTAACCCAAAAAGATAGTGGACAAAAAAGGGAGCTAGTTACCTCCCAGAGGTTTATGAATGCATATGACAGTTAAGGTCGTTTGCAAAAGTTTAGGCACCCCTAGTCAAATTGCATGTTTTTTATTTAAGGAAAAAACATAAAAATTGGCCTGTGCAAAAGTTGTGTCATATCTCATAGTTTATGTTTTTTTTTTCATATGTAGAAAAAAAAGAAACTGTGCACTAAAATGTGTAGAAAAGGCATTTTTATTTTTTTCCTTGTGCAGGATTTGTTGACTTATTTTCACTTAATTTAATTTGACCTTCAGCTTTTGCATATGGCTGTAGTTCCCAAATTCAATCCAGCCTCAAATTACACGACTTTAAAAGGATGTTTATAACATCAAGACATACAGAAGATAGTCTAACATTAGTCTCACCTCCTCCAATCAGGAGCACAGTGTGGCAGACTCCAGGCACTCTGCAGCTCATTTCTTTAACACGCTTAGTCAACTTCTAACATGGAAATGAACAGGTAAATTGTTGAAACACAAACCAATACAACATCGTAATTAGCAGATTTCTGTATTTCTTGTGCATCAAACATTTGATACGATGTGAGAGCTGGACAAACACAAATGAAGAAAGTATGAAATTAACCTGTTTATCTGCTGTCACATAAACTTTACCAGCTTCAACTTTCACCTTAAAAACAAGAGATGGAGAGCAATGAAGGTGTTTATGTGGGATGTACAAAAAAGGGTTTTACACATTTAATGGAACAGGTTTACACAATTTCTTACACAATGCATAAACTTACGCAATTTCCACAGTGTTAAACTTCTCAGACATACCTTGTATGTGGGCAAAGAGTCTAAACCTGGATATTCTTCAATATCTCCAGTCGTAGTGTTAAAACAAGCCCCATGCCAAGGACATCGGACTCTGTTCCCCACCAAAGCTCCTGTTCATCCAAACACTTAATGAACTTACAGAGTTACTGAACTTAAGTAGAGATATCTTAAACGTGACTAGGTTTGAATTATAACGCATAAGTTTATTAAAAGACATATTTAACTGATAAGTTGACCAAATGAATACAGAGCATTACAGTTTACGTGAATATAGCCTGATATAGCAACAAACTATGCTCTCATTCATAGTAGGACTCATAAAAGTGTGATAGAAAGCAGTGTTGATTAAAATAAAATGGCCTGGTCTGTTGTTTGTATGAGGACATATTCAGCAGAGCAGAGCAATAGCTTACCTTTAATAAGGGGAGCTCCATAATGAGTGCACAGACCACCCACAGCACTGAACTTGCCTTCATTACGAACCAGCAGAATTTTGTGATGGTTGACCTCCACCTCTTTCATTCTGTAATGCAAAGACAGCCATACAGGAATCTGCTGACTGTCAAAGTACATGATACTAACTGTACCATCCTGTCTTGCCCTGTTTATGTCTTTCTCTGTTTCAGTCTTTGTTTTCTTGTTCCATGTGCTTACGTTCATTGTCTGCTCCCTGGTCCTGCTTTCTTGTTATCTGTCTCACCTGTCTGTTGTCTGTAGCCCCACCCTCTCATTAGTCCCAGGTGTTTCTGGTCTGTTCCATGTGTATTTATACCCCTGCTAGTGTGCCTTGTGTTTGCTTGGCATGTTATTCTCTCAGGTCCTGTTTTAGTTAGATCTCATTTGTTTTCTAGTTTCTTCATGTTCCTCTGTCTTCGGTTTTCTTCATTTTGTTCAGTTGTGTTCTGTCTTTGTTTTGTCACCTTTGTAGATACCTTTGTGTCATGGATTTTTAATAAAACCAGGACTTGCATTTGCATCCTCCCTATTTGTCTCTCCCAACATTACACTAATGTACTATTGGTGTGATTAAGTAGCACTGAATATTGTGTTGTATAAAAAATGTAATGTATTAGTGATATTACTGTCCATCCTGCAAGTCTGACTCCAGACACACCACTTCTGTGACTTCATCACATGGTGTTGGCCCCATACTCATTTTACCTGCACATATAATACATAAAAAAAGCTCTCAACATGAGAAAAGAGATCAAAGCAAATAAAAACAGCTGAACTGGAAAAGAAATCTAACATCTGTAACAAGGCATGAAACAATTTTAGTAGTAAAATGACTAGAATAACAGGACACTAGAATTACAGGCATTTCATAGTAAGAATGGGGACTGAGTGGTATAACCTAATGCAAGGTAAAATGTAACATGCATTTTTTATGTAGTTAAACAAGTTTAATCACATGCTTCTGGTCACATTATCTTATTATCATAACAGTGTGATCTGCTCATTGTGACAGCTATGTGACATTCCTCAAGATTCACACTAAAGACAACTTCCTTCATCATAAATGTGTTTGATTACTGAATTCCAAGCATATCTTACATAATCCCTCTTGGTGGCTACAACACAGCACAGTTGTGGAGCATATAACCAACTCACAGTGAGAGTGAGCCAGGCTAAAAGGCAGCCTCCACACGTTGGGTTAGTTTCAACATGGTGTTACAACTAAGCCACCCAAATTAAACAATGACAGTTTCTTTTCTATAGTCAAATATTTACAGCTGTACAATACATCCTCTCCAGGGAACAAACTCAAATATGACACTTTTCTGCTAATTTTATTGCACAATTTCTATTTATTTGCTGAGTTTAACATTTTGTATACAAACAAAACATGTGCCACTGTTTTTTTTTACAATGTGTTAAATTCAGCAAATAAACAGTAATTGTGCATTAAACCATGCAGAAGTGTGATCTCTGTAGGGGATGTCTACTTATTTTCACTTAGAAAATCATGCAAATTGTAATTTGTAAATTGACCTGGGGTACCAAACCTTTGCATGTATCCTAGTGGGAAAACATATTCAGTTTAAACAACATAACATTGTACTGAATTAATTGTGTTTTGCATCAGTTCACAGGACTTTTCTAGCATCTGTAACTAAGCCTAGGGTAAATGGGTTAGGTTGTAAATTTCCACTCACTCCACTTTGGGTTGAATTATTCACAAAATGAACAGTCTTATGCAATTTTAATTAATTAATTAATTAGCAAAAGCTGAAATGTGTTAGGTTGTGATCTGCTGTTCCCTACTGATCTAGGATCAGCTTCTATGACTGAGATCAACATAAATATGAGAGCAACCCGACCTCAGATCAGCGATCCTGCTCAGAGATGCTTTGTGAACATGAGCCCAGGATCTGGAGCAGCAATGATCTACTGTCAGTACTGTGACCACGAATATTACAATTACAGGAGAAACCTGCTCTGAGGTCAGTCCAACTCAAAACTGCTTGGGAACTCAAGAACTGCTAGTTTAAGAGAACAAAAGCCTGAGACTGTGAACTAGGAACTGAAAATTAGACAGCCTAACAGGGAAGTACAGAAAACAGAATCAGAATTATGCACTAAGATAAAAACACGTCTTCATAGGTGAAGGCTGTAATCAGAGAGGATCTAACTAGAAGACAAAAGGTTTAGAGGTGCCAGGGTGGAGGGGGATGTATCACACCATCAAGGGGGTTCTGTGACAACTTCCTAGCAGTAGCAGATCAGATAAAACAAATTTTATTGTCCCAGATAAGGATAATTGTCCAACTTCGAAAGTGATATAAATTTGCACAGAAAAGTCTAGACTGCTAGTCTACATTATATAATCGCAGCAGCAACTCCTACTTTAGGAGTCCTACTTTACTTTTACTTTAATCACCCATAATTACCCCGGTGCTTCTGGTGAGCCTCCTGCAGCAGCACTCTCTGTAGTCGATGATTTCCTCCAGTACTCCCACACAGCGAAACAGGTCTGTAAATCCAACAGGTTCTCCTACAGACCAGAGGACCTGAGAGAGGGGAGATTAGTTTCCTGAGCACGGTGCTATAGCTCAGTACGAGCCACTGACTGCTCAAACCAGCAGCTGATACTACAGCGTCTCGCATGAACGCTGCATGTAGACTGCGCAGAGTCATGCTAAGACTAAAGAAACCAAGAACTTATTCACATATAGGCTACAAAATACACTGGAAGACAACCAACCAGTGCAGTTAAACTAATCAGCTACTGTTAATGCCATACCAGAAGCCTGTGGGCTATGTTTGCGTAGGCAACGCAACCGTTACACAAATCCTGCGATCTATATAACATATACAATCACTGTTTTCCTGAAATTGTTATTTACAGATCGGGATTTTTACGTTAATCTGCGTTACACTTACGCACCCGAACACTTTTTCCGCGTTGCTCCAGTAAATTAACCCAAGATGCGTGAGAGACAACCTAGCTCTAGCTTAAATTTACTTTGTATTCCTTCAGTTTACACCCAGACTCTGATTTAAGTTAAAAGGTTCCTTGTGCACCTCTCTAAGCGCCTAGAATCTACCTGTCTGACTGCTTAGCTCAGCTCAGTAAAAACGCCACCACCCCATCTCTCCTTTCAACGAGAGCTGCGGTTGTCATTGGCAACCAAACGTAGCGATGTTCATAACAGGTAAATCGCTGACGGTCCATGACACAGCAGACTGATGTGAGCGAATCACGGCTGTGTTTTTTTCCCGCATGTTTTCCGATGAACCCCGCCCTCCTCCGTAAGGATTGGCTAGAAGTTCAAGGCGGCCCGTGTGAGTGTGAAGCATTAGCCAGTCATAGTGCGGAACGTGAGACACCACCAGCCAATCCTAGCGCAAGGGGGCGGGATTCATCGGAAAACGGGTGGGAAACAAATAAGACGCTCCGGTAGTGGAGTCATTTCAACGTTCATTTCGCGATACTGATTTCTGTTCGTTTTTGTTGTATTGAATCGTTGACTTTTTACTTTTAACAACTGAAAAGTTGATCGACATTGAAGCGGTTACAAAACGACTTACGCAAGCGTATTAGACCACCACAGGAGGTCGCTAAAAACACGAGGAGGGTCGGAAATTGACTCGGTGGCCACTCCACTGGGTTTATGCAGCTGTATCGACAGCCTGAAGCACACTCGCTCTTTCTTCTTTTCTTTCTTAAGACATTTCCTGTACCTCTCTTTTCTCACCATTGATGTTTTTCTTTCTTGTTCACTCTGTCTTCCTTTTAATGGAGGACAAAGTACAATACTTCTGTCCTTGAGTAGTAATACTCTTAGTAAAATATTGCATATAACGAATAAAAGTAAGTGTTCTGCCTATATTTCTATCTATATCTGTATTTTTTTATCTTTTACACAGTCCTTCCATTTTCCCAAGTTCAAAAGTAATTGGACGGACTAACACAATTATAAATATGTTTTAGATGTTTTCTAGCAAAGTCTAATCTGACCTTTCTGTTTTTGAGTGTTACCAGTGGATTGACTCTTTGGGTAAAACCTCTGTATTTACATTCATGGAGGCGTCTCTTGATTGTAGACTTTGACAACGTTACGTTAACTGCCTAAGCAAGTTTTTTCTTCACCATGGAAAGAATTCTGAGATCATCAACTTTAGTTGTCTTCTGTGGTCACACCTTTTGGTGTTGCTAAACTTGCCAGTGCATCCCTTCCTTTTATGAATGTACCAAATTGTTGATTTGGCCACTCCTAAAGTTTCTGCTATCTCTCTGATAGGTTTGTTTTGTTTTTTTCAGGCTAATGATGGCGCCCTTCACTTGCACTGACATCTCTTTGGACCGCATATTAAGAGCTCTAATGAACAGCTACCAAATGCAAATTCAACACTTTGAATCACTCCAGATCTTTTATCTCCTTAATTTGTCATGAAACAATGAGGGAACAGGCCACACCTGACCATGAAACTGCTTATCAGTCAACTGTTCAGTTACTTTTGAGCCTTTGAGGGACTGTGTAAAAATGGCTGTAATTCTTAAATGGTTAAAGCAATATTTTTGTTAAAGCTCTTGAATTAGAGCTGAAAGTCTACACTTCAATCACATTTTGATTGATTCATGGTGAACAGATGCAAAATAACAAAATGGTGTCACAGCCCAAATACTTATTGGCATGGTTGTATATATAGGGTAGCCTTGCTCAAAGGAACAGTACAGACCATGCTGGTCTAAGCTGATGCATGCTGGTTTGTTCTGGTCTGGTTCTGGGTTAGATGGTTGCCCAGCATGGTCATGCTGGTTGACCAGCATACCAGCATCCAAAACCGTCATTTGCTAGTTTTGCTGGTGATCAGGCGTGCAGGTCTATGCTGTTTTTCTAGCAGGGAGGATTGAATCCAACATCTATAATAAGGTAGCATACTTTGAGGTTTTATAGACATGGTGTAATATTATTTTAATGGACAAATTGTATTAAGGAGATCTGTCTGACTGCAGACACAAACAACAGTCACACAGATCACAATAACATAACACAATATCTATAAAAAAATATTTTAATACTTACATTTACAACCCCTTTGTACTTTGACTGAAGTACTATTTTACCAAGAGTATTTCTACTTTACAGATGTGTTGCACTTTTTGTCCACTCCTGATTCTTCTCTCATCACTTGTGAAGCCGCTACATTATGTACTACATTTCCCAGATTTCCCTGCTCTCCGTACAGGGGCGGTGTGTATGACGGTGAAGCTCCTCCTGTGTGTGTTTGTCTCCGCTCCTCATGACGGCGGGGCGGGACTCGGCTGTTCGTTTACTCTGAGTGTGTGTGTGTGTGTGTTTTGTGGGGAGTTACACAAGCATTTCAGCTTTCTGAAGTACACGCTCGCTACAACACTTCAGATACTTTCCATCTTTCCTGAACGTCCGAACCGAACCGGACCGAAGTCTCCGCAGCAGCTCAGCGGGTTAATTCAGCTTCTGTAGTTGTTTTCCAGGACACGCGCGTCTCCACGGTGTGATTTGATCCCCATCACGGAAAACCAACACTCTCCATCGCATTTAACCGCGCAGAAAGATGGAAAACCGGGCTGTAATGTTTCGTAGGTGAAATAAACGGTGTGAGGAGGGTCGTATCTCCACAGTGTGGAAGCGCGCGAGAATCCGACTTGTAGCGCGCGTCGGAAAAAAGATCAAACCAACAACATGGAGCTGCAGACGGTGGTTTTGACAACCAGCGCGTCTGTGGGCTTTTTCAGAGTGGTGAACTATGGCTTTGACAAACTCCCCATCCCGGAGACGGCTCAGAGGAACACGTGGAAGTGGAGGAACATCTCTACATCTTTCGTTCACAGTTTCATTACGGGAATCTGGGCTGTGCTGTGGTACGTGACCGCGTTCCCACACATCATACATGGCATCATACAAGAAAACACCGCTGCTGGTGCTCTGAATGACTTACACCACCATGTCTTCTCTTTCTTTCTAGTTTCTGTGTGCATCCACAGATGGCTGAAGACTTGATAGAGACGCATTCCGTCTTCTCCCATGCTTTGGTGTCCGTATCAATTGGTAAGTTTGACAGGAGAAGAAAGGTTTATCTACTGATGCTTTTCTTTCACCTATTTTGGATACTCAGTGTGTTTTTAGACTGTTTATCAGTCTCCAAAATGAGTCATAGTCAGTTTCCAGTGTACTCCACTTGCCCCAGTACCTCCAGGCTTTTACATACCTCTAGCAGTTGCACCTCTGCCTACACAGCATTATCTGCTTTAAAGCAATAGATTGACAATGCTGGACTCTTAAAGTGAGATGTGAGGCACCTTCCCCTCCTCACAGCACTAGAGCTCACATGGATCCATAACTATCCTTTCCTCATTTTGAGAATGTAGTCATTTGTTCTAAATCCATTAAGGTCCATAACAAAAATATAAATCCCCTTTCTGTGCTTGCCTGATCACAAATCTGAAGAAAAATGTAAAATTGAGCAAACCATACAGCTAAAACTGATATTTTATCTATTTAAATATGATACTTATCATATTAAATGTAACATTCTTGTCACTTTTTAAATTTTAACACACAATAATAAAAAAACGGAAATCTGACAAAAGTATCAAAATTGCATACAGTAAAAAAAAACAAAAAACTGTTCAATGTTAGATGTTCACCCAAAGTAAAACTATGCAAAATAGCACCACTTTAGACCAATCAGTGCAAGTTCTATGGCATTTTTCCTTATCACACCAAATTTAGTTGTTGAGTATGAATGGGCTTATTTCTCAAGACTGTGTGCACATTGCACGACTGGTACTCAAACTTGGATATCAGCGACTGAGTTGACTTTACATCCTGTGCATATCAGCGCACACACTCTAGGTGCAGTTTTGCTTAAAATCCACATAGGTGACTGATTTTTTTTATAGAGACTTACAAATATGCCGGTTGACCAATAATGCAATAATGCACTGACAATTACTGACATTTTTCTGTCACAAGCATCAGGGATTTGAACTTTAGGTCTCGTGAGGACAGGGCGAAACAGTTAATCTACTGGGAGACTAATAAGATGTGCCCTCTTATTAATGGTATCACAGCAACACAGCCTGAACTGGTACCACCAAGGACATATTGTAATTTCTGCAGGCTGCCAAATTCCACAGATATTTTAAATTCTTAGTAGAATCCCACTCTTGGTGTTGCAGAGAGGTTAGCTATGGCAGGGAAATCAATGGAGGCTTTATGATCTGTCCCAGGCACCAGCGCTAGGACTTTTAGTCACATGACACTACAAGAATGGGCCAGTAGTCCTAAGGAACATTTTATTGTAGCCTAAATCTGTGCACTAGCGGTGAGGGCATGCATCTCAGAGCCCTTTAGCTGAACAGTGCTATAATGTGGTGGATTTGGGCATCATAGCCTTTTCCTTTTAGCAAGTCAGCTTAGATTCACCACAGTGTTCAGATAACAGACAGCAGAATGATGTATTGTTAACTCACTAGTTGAGTTTCAGTAAACTTTTACCACCAATTTAAAGCAACAATACAGATAATATATATATATATATATATATATATATATATATATATATATATATATATATATATATATATATATATAAATGCTTTACTTCTAAAAGTACTGTTACATGACACAGGTGTTGAAGACATGTGCACTTGTACATAGATAAGATAGCTATAGATAAGAAAGTTATAGATAAGAAAGCTATGAAACCTAGATGGCTATATGACCAGTTCCAAAGACCTCTGGTTAATGTAGATAAGGGTCTTTCTGAAGGACAAATGACTGGTTATATGACAGTTCCAAAGACCTCTGGTTAACGTAAAGGCGTACTTGACATTGTGTTCTGTTCAACAGTCAGCGGCTGCACTAACATAGGGCCTCATTCTCCAATATCTCCTGAAGTTTTTTTCTTAAATTTGTTCTTGAGAAAGGTCCTAACAAGAAGTCTATGTCAGACTCATGACTTGTTCTTAAACCACAGAATTGTTCACACATTTATGCTCTTGAGTGTGCTTAGATTCTGTTCCTACCTAAGAACACATCCTAAATGAGAAAACACTGTTCAATGTCAAAATAATTGCAAAACTGCATAAGTGGGTTTTAAGAAGAAATTTCGTCTTAAAAATGGTGGGTGAATGAGGCCCATAGAGTGTAATCTGATCAGTTCCATCTGACTGAATGCTCAGTGTTTGATTGACAGTAATGTCCAAGACAATGTAAAATGTCTACTGTCAGTAAAGGCCTGTAGCAGATCTGTATAATGTGCTTTGTTGAGTATGTAATTTGAGCAGGGCGCTTAAACTGTTGCATATGACTGTACATGAAGCCACAGCACCTAATCAGAACATAATGACATACTGCATTTACAGTACGTGTTACGCCGTTTCCAAGAATGTGTTACACTGGACCCTGGTATTATGAAGATCCCCCGATGGTTGATGACAGGCTGTCAGAGTAAATTGGAAATGCTGATCATTACATCTACATTAATGGGCTCTCCTCCTGTGTTGCCCTCCATTCTTTACTTCATCCACCACCACTCTATAAACGCTGTCTCCATGGATACCTCCATGGTGGGAAATGGATATAAATAACCTTCTGTAACTGACATCTTGGTTACTATCGTCATGGGAATTATGCCCCTAATAACTATCATCTGCCACAGGCCATTTTTTGTCAACTATTCTTTACTCTTATTCAGTTTATTAATGAGGTTTTTTTTTCATTTCTAGGTTACTTCATATATGACTTCTTTGACATGATTTTTAATCAGAAGATCAATCAGTCATGGGAGCTTCTTTTCCATCACATAGTGGTGAGTATTGCTACAGAAACCTCTTTGAGGAGGAGACAAGGCAAACTAACAACTGACTAATTTATTCCTTTGTTGTGAAAAGCTGATATTTGTGGGAACCAGGGCATGTGATGATCCATTAGTGACGTTCCTGTTTTACTTGTTACTGGTTTCACTAACAGAGTGACTGAGTTTTGGCCCAAGAAAGCCCCCTTCGTATTCTTTCCTTAAACTGTTCAACCTGTCTAACCACCTGTTGCTCTGCAGAGAAACTCAAGTAGCACCTGATTATGTGGTTTGTGCTTTCAAAAGGCCCTTTGCATTAAAATCAACTTCAAGCACTCACCACTACAAAGAGATAAAAATGATCTTCTCCGAGTGTATGTACTGAAAAGCTCAGTGCCAAGCTTAGTTGCTTTAAAGTTCCCATATCTTACATTTTGTTTGTATTTTAATTTTTCTCCTGAGATCTACTTCTGTTGTTTGTGTGGTTTTATGTATGAAAAGCTAATTTGTTTTTACCTGATTGTTTTCCAACCTCTCTTTATTCCTTAGGATTAAACAGGCTGATTTTGTTACTGAGCCTGTAAGACTGACATATGTAAATGTCCTCTGTTTTGATTGTCTGTTCATTCAAAAGTGGCTAATTTAAAAGCAGTCCAGGCTGAAACACTCCTTATAACTTCAGCGTAAATGGGTGGGGCTAAATTGCTCTAGGCTGAATAGGTGGATGAAATATTGTTGGGACAAAACCTTGTATGTCCATTTTTGTTGTTTTTTTTTTTTCTTAAACAGAATTTAAAAATGCTGTTGCCCTTTACATTGTGTGAACATTTCATGATAAATGGACCAATAAAAATGGTCCAATTTTAGTTGGAAAAAAATCTTCTTCCATTACCTCCCATTTAAAATTAAGAATGTTTTTATCGTCCTTTTGTAAAGTTACTATTTTGGAGATGCAAGGTTTTGTCCTGATATATATGCCTAAATTCAAAGAGGCTGTTTTTGCAGCTTAATTTACAAAAAGGGATTGTATGGACTGTGGGCTGAACAGTATGTTTTGAACCTATTTAACAACTCTTTTAATACAAAAAAACAAAGAAAATCCCATTTTTATGATTAAGGCTCTTTAAATGAATCAAAAGCAGACATCCGTTAATCAGGTCTGTTTGGTGTTAGAGTCTGTTTTATGTGTTTGAGTAAATGGAGAAAGAACCTGTTAGGCCCACTCAGACACTCTGTGGTGAGTTTGTGCTTTTTTGCTGCTGTGTCACTGTTTGCTTCCGTCTGCACAGGAAAAGAGCCAACTTCATTCTCTGTGTGTTTTTGTTGTTGTCCTCTGTTTTCCTGGGAGCACATTCACTGAATTGGTCGAACAGAACATGCTGCCAGATTCTCAATGGCACTGTGAGAAACTCCCTCACTGCCTCAGCGGTCCACCTCTCTTCCCACTTGCTTAATCCATTTCCTCTGCACTGTTTACTACATGGAGCAGGCTGGTGCTATAACAGAAGCTTTGCTGTGACTACGCCTCATGTTTGAGAGGAATGCTGTCCATCAGTACATGAACACATTCCATTGTCACTGGATCATGACTTGCCTGACAGTCATTCTGACCACAGCAAAACAATGTAGTCATCTGATATTCTGTGGAAGTTTGCAGTCACGTTCTAGTAGAGCTGGCTTTACTTTTAAAGTGGGTCAATAAGTTATGGGTGCTGGCTTTCTGCTTGTAGTTCTTTTCCCCTCAAACTCCTGACCTCCTCCTTCCTCCGGGGAAACAGGAAGTCCTGCCGTCTGGGACAGAAATAGGGAGCTGATGTATTGCTTGACCATATATGCGTGAGAGGAGAACAAGCTTTTTGAGCCATCAGGCTGTTGTAAGGAGCCTACGCAAGTGCCTTTAATGAGTGTGGATTAGAGCTAGATGGTTGTCTGTACCGGCACACTGATATTAATCCCATACAGAAATATCAGTTTTAAATTGTAGTGATATTGATTGATAACATAAACATAGTTAAAGAAGAAGTCCACCCATTTTTTAAAATGTCTGCATAATTCAGCTGTTGAGATGTAATCAGTCATTCAGAGTGTTTTGATGTGAAGCTGTTTATTGTAGATAAACTTACTGACTCTGATTTCTTTGTAGTGGCGCTGATAGGAACCAGGAGTCACAATGTTCACAGATATAACTATTTTATTTACTATCCACTAACTCTTTTAAGTTTTTATATGTGATGTTGATAATGATAAAATAATAGTAAATCTGAAAAAAAAAACAAGTTTTCTCTAGGGACTATTTTTGCCTTACAACACCCTGCATGTACCTCTCCAACATGAATGGAGTTTAAAAAAAATGTATGTTATAGGTCAAAACCTTCTCAAAACTCATGAAACAATGTCTCAGACACCAGGACACATAGTTTTACTGTTTCGTGTTGATATATCATGTGTAAGAGAGCTTTTAGAGGTGTTAAACTTTTTTTAGGTGGTTTCTATCACCACTGTTGTAATGATTCTGACTCAGTAATTGAACTGAGCACTTCACATCAAACCACTCTGAATGACTTTTTTTTACATATTAACCATTTAAATATGCAGAAATAAAAAAAAATATATGATGGAATTCCCTGTTTAACTACAATGTACAATGCCATTTGCTGGGTGCAGACGAATGAACTGTTTTGAAAGGGAATAAAAAACATGCCTTTCAATAAATATTTAAAAAGTTTCCTTTCTGAAAATATGGTTTCTGTGTCGGTACGTTTACAGTGTAAGGTCCCTTCTGGTGTAATTTTAAGAGAGAAACAGTCTCATCAACCAAGCTATGGCAGGTTTGAAAGATGTTTTTTTAGCATGGAGTACAAGGAAACATAGGTTTGTTTGCTTTATTAATGCAAATGCTGCTGTAATATATGTGGAAAGTATTGTTGTATTAAATTTTATCAGTATCTCCCAGCACTAATGTGGATTAGTTAGTTTCCTGTAGGGTCATGGCAGCGGTCTCAACAGAATAAGTGGAAAAAGAAGAAATAATTTACTGTTCTTGTAAAAGTACTCAGCGTTTGTATATATACCACTTGGCAGCTGAGTTTGGAAAATACTGAGTTTTCCAGAGGTGATAGAGTGGAAACTGAAAGTGTTGCTACCCAGGAGAGATTTTGAGGAGAGATTTTTTAGGATAACAAGACATATGAATAACAATGTCAGAATTTTTTTTTCTGAAAAAGACTTTTTGCTCAGGAGGTCTGCACACAAATTGCTGTCATCCCTCTGTCATTTAGCAAAATTGAGTTTGCTAATTAATGTAGGAGACTGAAAGGATCACGCGGGAGAATCATTAGCCTTCACTCATGGCCTGATTTCTCAGAGACTTTGAGGCACGCCCTGTGTGGTTTGGTCCCAGTGCACGTAACGCATAGTGAGGACATATTAATGGTGCATTCTTTACTGACAAGCCATATAAACAGGCAGCACTGGGGGAGCCGGCTGTTTGGCAAAGCTTCAGGAAGATCTGTAGACAGCCGCAGCTCTCTCTCTGTGGAAAGTCGAGGCATGTTGTGTTACGCTGGCCTTATTTGCTGGTGGGCAGAGCTGGAATAATGCTATTGGTTAATTTTGTGCCCGCAATGAAAGTAGCTGCTCCTCTCCCAGTTAAACTCATTTGTGCAGAACTCTTAGACCCGCTATGCTGTCTGGAAACTGAGGCTTTCCATTCCGTTCTCCAGCTGTGTGCATTTAGGACACTCCCATGAAACCAGCAGCCATGAAACAAGCTTTGGAAATGAGTTTTTTGTAATGGAAGGCTTACAGTTGGACTACATGTTGATGATAAAATGTACAATGGCAACAGATGTGCAGTTTTGCACAGTAATAACTAGATGTGGGTAGATTGGATGATATGTTCATGATTGTGATAAATGATATCACAATACACTTTTTTGAGCACATAGTGAGTAGGGCGGAGTTTTATTTTAGTTTTTTTCTCTGAGGTCAACTTTTAAGGTTTGTGTGTTTTTATACCAAAAACAGTCACAATTCATTTTTACAAGATTATTTTCCAACCTCTCTTTATCTGTTAGAATAAAACAGGCTGTTTTTTGAGACTGTGCCTTTGAGACTGAGATATGTAAAGGGATATCTGCTCTGATTGGCTGCCCCATACTTTGCTTCATTTAAAAAGCAGTCTGGGTTGAACATGCTTTATAATTTTATTGTTAATGAGTGGAGCCCAACTGCTGTAGCTTCAGTAGGCAGATATATGTAAATTTAATGCTTTGCATGATATCAAAAAAGCAGTAAAAGTGAACAGTATGCTTTAAACCTTGTCGCTGTAAAAATTGACAGTGTTTACATACTACATCAAACTCTTTTATTTAAGTGAGGAAGATTAAATGTTCCCTGATAAAGGCCCTTTAGTGTTGATGGAAACTTAATATCAATAAGAAATTTAAAACATTGCAGTAAAATATTACAGTGATGGTGGTAAATAATTAGAAGACTGACTTGAAAATGTGTCTCTTTATTAGGGGACTATGGTAACTTCCAGTTCATGACATAGATTCTTTTTTCTTTTACAACAAGATCTGTCTAACTAACTGTAACTTAAGTTTTGTTTCTGTTATTTTGATTTTGTGTTTACATCTCAGCTGTGTGCATATGGTCAATTTCTTAGTAACAGACATTGTTGATGTCTTGAGATAAGATGTTGTAGGATAAGACAAGATTAGCTTTTGTACTATGAATTTGTGAAAAACTTTATCTAGAAATTTGCCTAATATGGTCACTGAACAACTGCCTAAATGCATAAACTGCCTAGAAACAAATAGTTGATTGGATGTTAGTCTATTATGCCATTTTTTGCCATATCACCCACCCTTCGAAATAAATGTGCCGGAGTCCATTAGGCGTGTAGTGAACTTCATAGAATAACCTTGAGGAAGTATTAAACAGTTCTAAAGAAAATAGACTCTTTTGCTTATCAGGTCATGCCTGCATTATTGGTCTTTCAGCCAGTATGA